GTGTTACACGTTACTGCTGAAATACACGGGTTGGTAACATGGCTCTCCCATAAATAAGAATAGAATTAAAATAAAGCATTTATGAAACAAATAAACAGTTGTTTTAAGTCTTTTTAATGACCCAAACATTGAAAAATCAGGTGGAATTTTCACTTTTCCAAAACTTAACATGTACGAAAAAAGTTTGTTCTGGATGCAACAGGAACATTTCAAAAGGCATAGCGTAAATCAGAGGTTCATTTAGAAATTACAATTGTTATAGGAACTTAAAAATAAATACAAAAATTGTAAAGTAAATCTAAACGGAGGAAGCCCATTTTCCTTCATCAATCCAAAACACACATACAAGATCCACTTTTGTTTCCGTACATGACAGTCAAATGCTTTGACTTTTGATCGGATTTCAGACTAAAAATTTCCTAGTCGGTTTAACGCACTGAGCAAATAGAAAAACAAGCAGACGGCTTGGGAGAAATAAAACGTGCGCGTATCGCAGTGTAACCGATTGATGGATTAAAGGAACAATGGGTTAGGTACCTGAATCTGAAAAGCACATTCGTTCTGTTCCCGGTCAACGTCAGCGTTTTAAGATGCTACGTTGCCTCCCAAGATACCTCATTTAAGGCCAATTTCAAAGCAGAACAGCATGCATCCTTCGAAGAGAGAAGGCAATCCCATTATGCATTGCACAAGCTCTCTGAAAAAACTAAATTCAGATGGTGAAAAAAATATTATGATATAAAAAAAATGAATTACTAATCATTGAAAACAAATTAACTGAAGGACGATAATTAAAAAACTTTAATTCACAATACTTTTGTTTTGATATTATGCGGCGTTCATGCCGTGTTGTAATTAACGCCGTGAATTACTTTTTACTCTGAGCTATTCTCCGACACGTAATATCAACGCCAAGATGAATATGCAGGGGTCCTTAGGTTTGCACTCAGAAATTTCAAAGTTGTAATTATGAGATCTACGAGGTGGTGAACAATTTTCATAAGTCAGAAAGTCTCGTAATTACTGCAATTCCCTGATAGCGCACGTACACCTCGTAGACGTCTATTTGATGAGTGAGAGACATTTCCTGTCAAATATTAAATAGAGATTTAAAAAACGTGTTTTATAATTTAGAATGTATGTAAAATAGACTTTTAAAGATGTTTATCAGATGTTTGTTCACAGCAAATGCTTTCATGAGCTGCTCTTTAACGGAGACATATGTGCTATCTAATTTCGACATCGTGTGAACGCACCTATAGAACCAAACTTTTGTGAAATCACAATCAGTGGAGTTGAGTGATTTGAATTATTTGCATATTGTGAGGTTATTTCATTAGGATGCTGGCTAAGTGGAACAAATTTTCAAAATAAATCATTTTCAAAGCCATTCTTGCATAATTGCCGCATCCAATTCAATGTGCAGACTGATCTCATGAAGTAGCGCGTGTATGACACGCCAATTCGTATTTCCATTTTTGGCGTGCTATCAACACAGTTCAGTTCTCATACGGCGGCGTCAGTGCAGTCAATAATCAATAATATTTTGTATATAAAGTGTCCCCAACTAAGCGAGCAAGAGCCGACGAAAGTGACAAGAAAACATACGGTAGAACATCACTGATTAAGATTCAGAACAAAAACTATGCATTAACAGTCAGTCAGGCACTCTACATTTACTCGTAGACATGAGTCGAGCACTGACAAGAGTGCTTTGTCGCTTGACTGAGCTTATGAGAAAAACAGACACGTTTCTCCCTAATGGTTTGGCGACTCTTGAGGCTGGAATAGAGGCAGGACTCACGAAAAGACCACTGCCTAAATCTGCTAAAACACTAAAAACAGACCAAACCACAACGTCTCCATTTACCCCCCCTTGTCTTGGAGACTGATGCTGATTTGGAAACCAGCAGCATTTCGGGACAGCTGGGACCAATCAAAACCCGCTGCTTTACATACAAATAAATTATCGTTTAAAAGTTTGGGGACGGTAAGACTGGATGCGATAAATTAAGCGAAAGTAACAGAAACGACATTTATAATGTTATAAAAGATTTCCATTTGAAAGAAATGCTGTTCTTTTCTTTAAATATAAATCAGCACAAACTGCTTTCAACATAGATATGAATTATTTCTTGAGCATCGAATCATATTATACTGATTTCTGAAGGATCATGTGACACTGAAGACTGGAGTAATGACGCTTAAAATACAGCTTTGATCATAGAAATTAATTATATTTTATGATATATTCAAATAGCAATCAGTTCTATTACATTGTAATAATATTTCACATTTTTGCTGATTTTACTGTATTTTTGATTAAATAAATGAAAAGAAGAGAAAACTTACCAACCACAAATTCATGAACTACATACAAAAACTGCTTGACTGCCATTAAGTTTAGAACTGTTGCGTGGCACTTCTTATGAAATCATTAATATATATATATATATATATATAGTGCTGCATATCTTCAACTAAACACTTACGGTTTTGAATGGGGTTTCAGGATGTTCCAGGTTCAAGTTTCAACCGTCGTGACTCAAGTTAGACGTATCGCCCTGTGCTCTCCATCTAAGATAAATCAGAAAATCCCCGGTCAGCAAAGGATTTTTTATTTTAGTTAGCCGTTTAAACACACAATTACGTGGACAACATGGGACCTGATGCGCAATCAAACACAGGACCAAAATAGTACAATGGTAAACAAGAATAAATAAATAAAAATCCTTGAAATAAACACTAAAAATGTATTAAAAGGAACAAAAACTGCTATGAAGTCTATGAATATGAAAATATTACACCTTTTTTCTTTTCTTTTTAAAGCTAAAAGTCCAATTAAATTTGCAAACCTAAGTTTGCTCAACTACACATAATTATGTATTTATTATTATTGCATTATTTGCATTTACTTTTCTCCCTGCTGTTTGCAACTCACATTAGTATTTTTAGAAAACAGTGTGAAAAAATAGATTTTGTAACAACTCACCCTTTAATATGCATGGCAACTTAATATTTCTTTTTAATCTGGCCTTACAATGCAAAAGTAAACGTGCACATCATGTGAAATGTCATCTTGTCTTTGGTCTTAAGGGTCGACGCACGGCCGCTTATTACCTCTTTTCTCTTCTGTCCAGGACAAAAAGTGTCTGGAGGGATTAAGGTTTGTTAAGCCAAAAAAAAGGATATCAGATTTATCTCATTGAAAGTTAAAAGGAGAATAAAAAGGCTTTGTAACTGTGACTGCACACTGACAGATGGGTGGTCAGGAATGAGCCGGTGTTGGTAACATGTTGTTATTTCACGTCTCTGAGAGATCAGCTTTAAATCCTGAACAGTGACCGGGTGAAACGGAGGACTGGTTGAATTTAATCTGTGTGCCGGACAGGACCAACTGCATGAAGTAAAACCGTGAAACTGATTACACAACCAAAACAATGGAGCATAAAATAACTTCTTTCACTCTTGACATAAAAAAATTAAGACAAATATTTGGGGTATCCAGGGACCCCAGACAGTAACATTGCATTTTGTAACGGATTAATAGTTTTTTGTATTTTTACTTTGTTTATTAATGTTTTTTACTCAACGTTTGTGTAGTTTTTGGAGGATTTATGATATTTTTTACATTTCTATAAATAAATAAATATTTATTTATTTAAATAGGCTTTTTTTTTTTTTTTTTACAAAAAAACAGCATTTTATAAATTTGCTTTGTTTGTAAATTATGATTTTAAATGGATGTTTTCAAAACACTTACTCTCATGCGATAGCGAATGGGGCTGATGCTGTTTCCTATGTAATGACGTTAGCCAATCATAACAGTGGCCTTAGAAACTGATCATTTCGGGCAGAGGGTCAAAATGAAGGTTGAAAATAATCATTTATATTTATGCTCGAGGATTTGCATGATTTTAAGAGCTTAGTGTTGGCAATTTTGTTAAGAATGACATGCTATAAAGCATAAAAATAAGCAGCACACTATTAGTCAACTTCAATACTGGATGAAATGCAATTAAAATTTCTCTTCGTTTGCCATTTTTTCCAGCGTGTTGCACTAACGGGATTAGCTTCTCTGACTGCGGAGGACACATGCAGGCCAAAGAAAGCAATTTTAGACGGCAGTATGATTATGCTACCTACCTTTTGGGACAAACTTTACATTTGCAGCAGTGTTGGAAGTTGGAACAGAACAATTGTTTCCAGAGCGACTTAATGTCTGGCTCATTTCATAAGCAAGCGCAACTAGCAACTGTCACGAGAAAATATCTCTCCCACTTAGTTTAATAACTTCAGACTGACAGCAGAAAGAAACAACAGTCTCTCATCCATATAATAAAGGGAACTGGAGTGATGGCCGTGGTGTGAAGGGCATCTGGCACTGGTTGTAGGAAGATCGCCCTGAAAAAGAGTCTCAATTCAACCAAAACTGAGGTTCTTCACTTCCTCTTTTGATGGACTAACAGCCTGATATTGAAACTTTCACCCAGCGCCACAGCTGATAAAGTTCAGATAAAGTAGACTACTTTATTTTCCAATAATTGTTTTTAGGCTTTAAAATGCCCATATGTTGCTATTTTAAAGGCTCCTAATTTTGTTTTTGAGATCTCCCAACAATAGGTTTACATGTATCCAAGGTAAAAAAACATCATATGAAACAGTTTGATAAAGGATCTGCTCTGATTGGCCAGATGGCCCAGTCTGTTGTGATTGGTCTACTCTGCTCTGATTGGTCAGATGGCCCAGTCTATTGTGATTGGTCTACTTAACTCTATATATATATATACACACACATATATACATACATAAATATATAAATATAAATATATATATATATATATATATGTCCAATGTATTTAAAAAGCATTTTAGAAATTGTGTTACTGAACTAACTGTTGCTACTGGTTCATCAGTTTATTGTTCCTATTACTCGGTAAATCCTAAACCTCGGTTCAATCAAGACCCGGAAGTAGAAATAAACAGCCGGACAGTGAAAATAAAAGTATATACAACTATAATTAACTGAATTCATACAACGAACGAAAAAAGAGACTTACAAAGTAGCAGCATCTATACAAACACTCAAAAAGGATAAAACAGGCCGGGATACGAAAAAAAAAATAGCTGGCTATTAAAACAAACAAACATCAAATTGCAAAGAAAATAAGATTCAGTGAGAGTTAAAGGGATCGTTCACCCAAAAATAGTGTAATTTACAAGAAAAAGAGATGGTGATCACGTAATGCCAAGCTCATAATTTAATAAGCAACAGCCCATACTTAATTTAAAATTATTTCTTAAAATGTGAAAGCAAAAGGGTGATAAATGTAATATAATAAAACTGAATAAAATGCCTAAATGGACAGGGATTCTGTCAAACCGAGCAGCAAAAAACACTCACAGGACGGGATAAGAGAAACGTAAAAAAACAAAACAAAAAAGAAGGTAAGATCCAGTTAGAATTAAAGAAATAATAATAATTGAATTAAAGAAATGCGTCATCATTTACTATGAAAGTCTCAAAAAAAAAAGGAAAACATTCTTTTCCTGGTGATCCATTCTTTAAAATGTGAACGTGTAAACTAAATAAAATGCCTCCATGGACGGGGATTCTGTCAAACCTAGTGTCAGATGTTCCTCAGTCTTTGTGAGATTAGTGTGAAGAAGCGGTTTTCATGTAATCTACCCCAAACGAGTCACTTCTTCCTCCTGAGGAAGGCTTTTGCCTCTTTCTGCAGCCGTTTAAAGTCCTCCCCTTTTCCACTGTCGTCCGATTCGGGCACATAGTCCGAGTCTTCATCCACCTCTTCCTCCTCACTCTCGTCATTAATAAAACTGTTTTCGTAGCGATCTTCATCATCATCATCAGCAGCAGCAACGGTCTTAGCTGGGGAAACAGAACAACATGAAACGTGGTTTGAAGCTGTTTACGTCTACATTTCGCACTGACCAAGACTGTGTAAACAGGGCTTAGGAAGAAACATCCTGTGGTTACAAGTGGAAAACGTTCTGAAAACAGCTTTAAGCATCCGTGGTTCTGGGCCTGGTTTTTGGGAGGCGTCCAGAAAACACTACACCGTTTTCTGGAGGAATATTGAGCTAAACAGCCTGTGACTTCGGGAAGCATCCGTGACCGCTAATAATGAAACATCACAGCGTAGTGTTCCTCCTCAGGGTCCACACGGCACGTTCTCAATTGGTTTAAGAGCAGTTTAATTATGATAAATGTCCTAACCAAACATTACGCTCATTCAGTCCCGTGGAAAATGATCCAGTGGGCTTCAGCGGGACGCACGTTGGAACAATAAACATTTCAATTACCCTGTCTTCACCTCAGAATGTCAAAGCGTTTGCATCCGAGGGAAGAGAAACTGTTTATCACACTTTCATCGAGGGCTGTATGCAAACAGAGATGAGTATTTTTAAATAAATTACAGATAGAAAAAAACCCCAAAGCCTTCAGACGAGGATGAAGACGCACAGTGAAGATGTCAGAGAGCCTTCGACACGACTCACTTCAGGCTGATACACTTATATAACAGGGATTTGTGTGTAATTATTTTATATATATAAATACACACACATGCATGTATATATTTATAGATTTATATATAATTTAAATTATATTTTATATATAAATGATATTTTTTTTCTTAAATATACATGCATGTGTGTGTATTTATATATTTACAAAATAATTATACACAGTGCACACACATATATTATGTAAACACTTTTATTTTGGATGCGATTAATCGTGATTAATCGTTTAAACAGCCCTAATATATATATTTCGGTTTTTTTAATACATTATTTAATCATTTATTGTATTTTTGAATTTTCTCTGCCTGTCCTTAGATCCAATGTACTAAATATGAATATCAAGAACTGATAAGAATGTAAATGCAATGTAAGTCGCTTTGGATAAAGTGACATAAATGTAAATATCAACCAAGCGCTTGGTCATTTGAGATATACGACTAGAGATTTATGTGACTAAGTCAAATGGCGCACATAGACTAGCTTTTTCTAGTTTCCACCGCACAATTTATTCCTAATGGAAACATAAATCCAGGAAAAACGCAGTGTACTTGTGAAAACAGGCCAGAGGACGATAATCTTGGTTCACACCTCTCACATAAACGCTGCGGCCCACGGTGGAATTTCACGCTGCTTGTGATTGATTGGTCTATCAATCCAAATTAGACAGGACAGAGGAAAGGAGAGACAGGGAAGACAGACTGATGGCATTTTTTAGGACTTAGGATCTGCATTTTGGAAAGTGCAATTAATATTTCTCCTCTCCTTCTTAGATAAATTATTTCACATTTGAAATGCAATAATGTGGTGATTTAGCACGAGCAGTCATAAAATGGCATATTATCCAAAAAATACTACTTTGGCACCAATAACTGACTTCTGGAGAGTGACTCACTAAATCCATCTTAGGACCCCAAGAGGAAGTAAACACAACGTTATATTCAGTTTGCAGTTAAGGAGGACAGATAGACTCTCAATTCGGGGAGTCTTCTAAGGTAAGCATCACTTTTATTATTTTAATACTTAAGAGCTAGAGATTTGAACAAACCCTGTAAACGTTGCAGAGACTTCACATTAATTCACTTGTAAATATACTCACGTGGTGATTTAGTGTGTTTGTACTCTTTCTTGTGAAGTGGGTTCTTCCTGAAACATCGAGACAAGTACACAGAACACACTGTAAACAAATGCTAGATTTCAAGTACAATGCAAAGCTTTTTCTCCAGCACAGCGCCACACATCTTCTCACACTTACATACAACTGAACCGTTTTCTCATTTCATTCCTAGAACAGGATTCTTGCACGATTCTTGATAAACTGAGAATCACAATTTTTTGTTTAAAATAAAGGTCCTGATTCTAACTAAACAAAATAACAAGTAATTTACTGTTCTTTTTTCCATCACCGGATGAATTAGCGTTTTTAAACGAATCTCGAGTGAATGATTCAATGACTCAAATACATCACTTGTTTCATTACCGGATGAATTTGCGTTTTTAAACGAATCTCGGTCGAATGATTCAATGACTCAAATACATCACTTGTTTCATTACCGGATGAATTTGCGTTTTTAAACGAATCTCGGTCGAATGATTCAATGACTCAAATACATCGCTTGTTTCATTACCGGATGAATTAGCATTTTTAAACGAATCTCGAGCGAATGATTCAATGACTCAAATATGTCACTTGTTTCATTACCGGATGAATTAGCAGTTTTAAACGAATCTCGAGCGAATGATTCAATGACTCAAATACATCACTTGTTTCATTACCGGATAAATTAGCATTTTTAAACGAATCTCGAGCGAATGATTCAATGACTCAAATATGTCACTTGTTTCATTACCGGATGAATTAGCATTTTTAAACGAATCTCGAGCGAATGATTCAATGACTCAAATACGTCACTTGATTCATTACCGGATGAATACAGTATTTAAGTGTGCTTAATCGATTAATCTAATTCGTATTTACATTCTGGAGGGTTTTATGGGATGGGTTTCCTTTATGATTTATGGAGTTATGAAAAAAGAGATCCAACAAAATGAAACAAGAATTTTAATTTTTATCCAGTTTGGACTTCTGGTAAATTAGTGCAAAACATATAAAACTTGTAATACAAAACAACTGTCTTAATGTATTGTAATTAATAAACTGTTTCAAACCTGTACAATTTAGTGCCTTGCCTTCATTTTCTCTTCCTAAGCTCCACTTTTAAAGTTTCCTATATAGACGTGTAAAAGTGGACGGCCTAAAAGGGATAGTTCACCCAAAAATGACAATTTGTCATCATTCACTTATTTTTTCATACTATGGAAGTCAATGGGGACCAGAAACTGTTTGGTTACCAACATTCTTCTAAATATCATCTTTTGAGTTAAAGGATGAAAGATACAACTTAAACGTCTATGAATTGTAACAGAATTTTAATTTAAGGGTGAGCTGTCCCTTTAAGTGAATATCTCAGATTTTTTTTATGAAAATATTTCAGAACAAGTCATTTTTTGTATCTTTGTTTCAATAATTGTTTTGAGTTCTGAAAGTGAGAGTTTTAATAGTATCTCAAAAGACCCAAAAACTTGAATAAACTTGTTAATGAAGAATGGTGGTGTATTTAATCTCATTTGTTGTCACCTGTAGCAGTGGGTACCGTACGGACACTCCGGCCTGTCATCATCAGCGTCCTCTTCTTCCTCCTCCTCATAGTCACTGTCTCCGGGGTGACTGCACTCCTGAAAGTGGAGTTGATTTTTCCTGGAGAGAGGAAAAACACAATTTCTGAGTGAACTGCAATGCATGCTGGAACACAATAGGTCAAACGAATTCAATCACGAGCATTCATGCAACTTAATTCCACTGACTGACAGCTAAGTTGGAAATCAAACGTTTCTGTTCGTCATTTCCGATTGTCGTCATTCATAACAGGAATATTTTTATTACACAACACTCAAAGAGTGATTGATCAATCACAACTGCTGTCAGTTAGAGAAGGGATGATGCTTTTACTTATTTATGACTGTCTCTAAAGAAAGGTTTAAAGGGGAAAAAACGTATGAAAGCTCGAACTGCGTTTTCAAAGATCTGCGTACAAATGGAAATGGTTTATAAGGTAAATGTCAAGCTTCACCTCTGGGTTTGAGGACAGCACCCTCCAGCTAAAAATACCGATTTTGTGTTTTTATCTCTCAGCTTTTTGAAATTAAAAATAAATGTCAGAGAACCAGACAGGAAAACATGCGTCTTTGAAATACCACGCAGATTTTATTAAACATTCTCAGAGGAGCTTTTGCCAGACTTAAAGGGTACCTATTATGGCATTTAAAATGTTCCTAATATTGTTCTGGGAGTCCCCAACAACAGTTTTACAAGCATGCAATGACAAAAAACACTTTTGTTGTCTTATAATATGCATTTATTTTTACCTGATTTGCTCACCGACTCCCATATGAATCGTTTAGCGAGTCCTTTTTCCAAAACCCGCCTTTGCGTGACGCTAATCTGCGGTGATTGGTCAGATGACCAAGTCAGTTGTGATTGGTATTCTCTGTGCAGAGATTGTCGAAAACGGAACGCCTATCACCTTAAATGGGTTCTCAACTCCAGTCCTCGCGACCCACTGCTCTGCATATTGTGCATGTCTCCTTTATAGACCATTTCACAAGATGTAAACAACACTGGTCCAGAAGCACTTCCTGTTTCAGTTTTTTAACACTACATAAAAGCTGGGATAAAATACAACCAACAGAACATTTAAAACTGAATCAAAAAGTTAAACAAACATCTTTAAGATGTTTTCTTAACATGTGAAATAAAGAAAACAGTTACAAACTGAAACAGGAAGTGCTTCTGGACCAGTGTTGTTTACATCTTGTGAAATGGTCTATTCAACACACCTGATTCAGATCCTCAGCTCGTTAGAGCCGGCTCGCGAATCCATACTTTATAGCGTTTAGGTTTGTGAAGCAATCATCTTCAAAATGACGCGAACACAGAACAAGGTTTGGGCTATACTTGTGTGGTATACTTGTATATATGAACTGCAGCCACTTAGTCTTCAAATGCTCCTCACTTGGCAGGTGAAAAAAGTTCGCTTTTGCGTCGCACTTCAAAACACAGCGTCTCGTCGACATGATTGTTTTCCCTGGCGTCTCCGAGCGCAATAAGTGGGCGTTTCTTATTCAAATAACTTAATGCCTGGTCACTTTATCGCTCTAGCACTTTAATACTGGACTCAATAATTACACTTTTTTATGGTCTTTTTTTCTTTTGTTGATATTTTGACTATTATTGTTGTTATTATTATTATTGTTATTTTGTTCTTTGTACTGTCTTCTTTTTATTCTCCTTTTCTTTTCTTGCTAAAACTGCTGCTGGAATTTTCAATTTCCTTTTGGGAGTCATCCCTAAGGATTAATAAAGATAAGTCTAAGTCTAAGTCGACGTCAACTAGACAAAGGAAAAGCATCGTTCTTTCGAACGATTCATATCAGCGACTCAGAGTCGACTCTTACTTTTGAGAGACAATAACTTTGTATACGATGAACTTTCATGTTTAAAACTTTGCAGGATGTTTTCGTTCACTTAGATCTATGTTAAACACTACATGAAGGGCAATTTTCAAAAATCCATAATAGGTACCCTTTAATCCTCTTAATTATATTGACAACATGAAACTAATTAACATGTGCAGCGTTTATCTTCAAGGAATATTTCGAGTTAACAGCGTCTTGACAGCACAGCATTGAAGGTAGAGTTTAAAGAGATGAAGTACCTGTAGCAGGAGCTGCCGTAAGCACACCGCGTCCGCCGCTGTTTCTTCACCTTACTAACACTTGTTTTGCTCTCAGCCTCTGTGATCTTTGACCTCTGCGAGGGTCCCTGGCTGGCCTGAGAATCATCTTCAGCTTGAGCTCCTCGTCCGACCTCATCTCCTTTCATCTCTCCATCATCACGCTCCATCAAACCGGTGCTGTTCTCTCCGTCTGGGACTGTCCTGACTCTACTGGTCCTGGGAGCTGCGACATCATCCTGTCAGGACAACACAACTCAAGTATACATCCCAGCCCTGCACATGATATTCGGACAAAAAAGATACATATCGTGGCCATGATTTATTAAGTCGTTCCCTCGTATTAAATAAAATGTGCACATGATATAATAATGTGTGCCCTCGGTTTACTATCATGCATATGATATCATATTCTGTTCCCTTGATTTAGTAACTCTTGCCCATGTTTTAATACATTTTTCCCTCATTTTGATTTAAAGGGGTGGTAAAGTATGATTTCACTTGTCTAACTTTAGTGTGTAATGTTGCTGTTTGAGCATAAACAACATTATCAAAGTTACAACGCTGAAAAGTTCAAAGCAAAGGAAGATATTTGCTTTTAAAGAAAAGGCCTACAACAAACGGCTGGTAGGGAGTACAGCAACCCCAAAATATATATAAGAAGCTCTCGAAAGCCCGCCCTCTGCAGCAGCAGCTCATTTACATTTAAAGGGCCAGGCACAAAACGGTGCGCTTTTGCAAACCCTAAAAAAGTGACCACTTTAACATGCTATATAAAAATATCTGTGGGGTATTTTGTGCTTAAACTTAACACACACACTCTGGGGACATCAGAGACTTATTTTACATCTTTTGAAAATGCCATTTTACCGACCCCTTTAACTAAAACAACCAAACGAATTATTACAACGAACGAATTAGTAAAACGTGCTGCCGTTTTAGTAAGTCGTGGGAATTTTTTTTTGTTATTATTTAATATTAATTTATATTATTATTGTATCCAAAAATTTAGTGTTTGGCATGTGCATACTTTTTACAGTTTATACTATTTTATATTAAATTTATGACATAATATACATACAAATATATATATATATATATATATTAGTGCTGGGCAATGATTAATAGCATCCAAAATAAAAGTTTGTGTTTACATAATATGTGTGTGTACTGTGTATAATTATTTTGTATATATAAATACACACACATCCATGTATATATTTAAGAAATATGTGCATGTATATGTTGTCTGTATATTTAGACAAAATTTATATTATATATAAATATTAATGTTTTATATATATATAAACAACACATTTTTCTTAAATATATACATGCATGTGTGTGAATTTATATATACAAAATAATTATATACAGTACACACACAAATATTATGTAAACACAAATTTTTAATTTGGATGTGATTAATCATTGCCCAGCACTAATATATATATATATATATATATATATATTTTTTTTTTTTACAGAAACGGCAAATTTTAAGTCACATAAATAAGCAGTGAAATGTGATATTATCAATTTAATTCAATAAACAGAGTTTCCATCAAGTATTTCCATATTTAAAAGTTGCAGTCTGTAAGACAATTCAAATTATTATTCTTAACAACAATTGTAATATTTAATACACATTTTATTCTTATTTATTATTGTTGTTGTCATTTCTAATAAACCGTATGCTTAACTTGCAATAGACATGTCATTCCAAACTATTATTAATGATGTTGTTGTTGTTCTTCTTCTTCTTATTATTATTATTATTATTATTAATGAAAAAAATTGCAGTCTACAACAAACCATTTCAAATCTCAGTTCTCCTTTTTATACTTATACTATAATTTCTCTCACCAGAGATACCAGAGGAACCGACTCATCTTCAGAGTCACTCTTCAGTCTCTTTGTTTTTCTTTTGGGCTTCTCTTCCTCCGGCTCCTCTTCCTCGGATGACAGCTGTGCGGCTCGAGCTCGGCTGGGTCCGGTTCCCGGCTTCGGTGCAGCTACTCGTTTGGCTTTGGTAGGAGTCCCTCTCACTGCTGAGCTCCAAAAGAAGATCAATTCACGGATAATGTCAATGCTTGAACATTGCAAGTTATAATAGAGTAAAAGTTGCTTTCTCCTCAAATCATGATCTTCTGATGCTGTAATGACACATTATACGATCTGTAGGACCACATGAGAGCGAAAAAGGCCCCAGAGGGCTCCAGATGTGACCTGTGGCACTGAGAAGGTCACAGATGAAAGGTAAGATTGTTGTTTTGCAGACAGAGAGAACAGTACAACTAATGCATGCCTCAGGACTCAGGAGTCAGTCTTTCCAAATCACGTCAAGTGTTAAGCATCCATTTCTTGTTTAAAACTGGGGTTTCAGTCTCCGACACGCTTGTGCTCAGAAACACATGACAGAAAATAACAGCAGATGTTCTGAACGGTCAGCCAAAACTGCACTTACATATTGTGTGGGTGGAAAAAACTACCGTTTACCGTCACACTTCTGTTTCCTTGGTTAAAATTTTCTCACGATTTACTAATAGTTTGAAACATATTGCAAGCAATGAACTAAACAAAATATATAACACTGGCCTAGTGGTTTTTGGATATTTTACTGCACGGTCAGTGCAGAGTTCGGTACCCAACCCTAAAAGCGACTTCCTCTCTCTGCCTTTTCCAATTTATTCCTCAAAAAATGTCTGAGGACAATCCCTGTGATGACCGGACACTTGACAGATGTGGGGTTTGTTTATGTATGGGTGTGAATAAACAGACCCCAGATTCTGTTGCCATGGGGACAGTGTTCCATCGCCATAGTGACGGTACCTTTGGAAGTCGATGGGCTTGTGGATGCTGACGTCATCATCCAGGCTGGCAAGATACGCTTCTTCTGTGGCCGATCAGACTCGTCGTGTTGGGTCTTTGTGTGCACCTTGAAAACACAAAATAGATTCGAATTAGAGGAGAAAATTATTGGACTATAGTTAAGATGGTAAAGGAGCATTTGAAAATATAATACAGAATAGAAGAGTAAAGCTAAGAAAAGTAGAATTTATATAAGAGAAGTAACAAAAGATCTTATAATTATATGCATCGACAAAGAGAAATTATAGAAGTGAAGTATAGAACTACAGCACAGTATGGTGTAGTACGTGTAGAAGAGACTGATTTTAATATCGAATATCATTTCTGAGGGGGAACTACACAGCAAACAGAGAGCACATGAGGTGACAGGAGAAAGTACCAATAATAGCAAAAGCAGTCATGACAGCTGAGATAGTCCAACTGCTCCTGAACTGTTAAATGGAAGAAACACCATGAAACGGTCCATTTATGCATGTGTCAATATGTTTAAAATCAACAAAAAGCCAGTTTACAGTGAAAGACCCATAATAACTTGTCGAAAAACATTGAGATTCACATGAACAAATGTTTCCAACCAATGTGAAGTCACTTCCAGCAGTTTATCGTCATTTGCTGTGAGTGTGACAGATGTTTGGACCATCACCATACAGTGAGCTGATCTTTCAGACTCTTTAAACTAAAGTGACTTTGAAGAGACTCGTGAGATGCATGAGCACATGCTTCGGGTCATTTACTATAATCAAAGAGTATCCACAAGTTTCCGAGGGGCGCTCCTGTAAAAAATAAAGTGGGTGAAACTTCCGGTGAGGCGGCGGAAGTAGCATTCCAATGGTATTTTGTGTGTTAGTTAGCGAAGATGCTAGCTGTTTTTCTGAGAATTATTTTACTATTTAAAGACGCAAATCTTTATGAGAGATGTCGTTACGGAGCTCAGGGACAACATGTGCTGTTCGCGGTTGTATGTATAACTGGACTAAACTAGTTCAGTGGCTTAAACGGGATTGTTTTGAACATAAGCTGAAAACGAAATCAGAGTGATCCTGCCAGAGCCCGTCTCTGATCCTGCCAACGACTGTAACGTTAGTTTCCATCACCTCCCAAAAGACGACGAATCTTCCTGTGTACATTTGTTTAAATTCTTAATATTCTATAAACTCTATCAGCATGTGATTGGCTGTTCGCTACTGATGTTACACCTAAACTCAGGATTAAAGCCTGTTGACAGAATACCAAATGTGCCAGTTAATGTATTCAAGTAGCACATTCATTTATAATTTTGAATAAACTCCAAAGCACAATGACTAAGTGTGTATTTTTTATTTTAATTGTTTGTCAGCTCGCACAACTGTCTGTCACCATGCTTTTATGAGTACTGATTATTAATAATGTTATTATAATACTCCCAATCAACTACTGCGGAGGGTAAAGGTACTGTTATTTCACCCTATTGAATTTCGTTAAGGTTGTGTTCCCACATCGTTAGCTAGTTTGGATCGCTATAACTTGAATGACTGTCAACTGTTGAATGAACGAGTGTCAAGCATGTCAAATCGCGCTTTGTTTACTTCCAACCGGAAGTCGCGCCCACTTTTGACGCAAGGCCTCATGGGGCGTAGGAAACTTGTGGATAGAACAACAAGTAAATGAGCACATATATTTTTGAAAGAACTAAGTGTTTTTAGCTAAGAATAAACTAAAAGAGTTACACAGTGTAGCTTTAATATAAAATACCGAAAAAAAAAAAAACAGTTAACGTAAAGCTATTCTATTGCGGTTATAAAATTATTGTCCAACGTTTACATTTTAGTACAACATTTATTTGCTGAATTCATTTATTTCATCAATAACTTGTTTTTGTATGTAACGTTATGTGCACCTCCTGGAAACCGTCGAGCGTTATAATAACTTTATGAATTGATATCACTTTATTCTTACCTGTCACACTTAATGTGGAGAGTAATATAATTAATTAAATCCTAGAACTTCCCCGTCTCAAGTTATGTGGGGGAAAAGCCTGGTTAAGTAGCAACTTCTTTTTAACTGCTATAACGTTAACTGGAACGTTCACGTCTTGTGTATATATACATTCTTTACTATTATGTTACAAAAAAGATTTATACTTCAAATAAATGCTGTTCTTTTGAGCTTTCCATTAATCGAAGAATCCTAAAAAAATAATATTATCATGATTTATTACAACTGTTTCAACATTGATAATAAATAATATTAGAGTGATTAGAGAAGACTGGAGGAGTCATGCTGAAAATTCAGCTTTGATCAGGAATAAATAACATTAAAATATATTCAAATAGAAAACTGCTATTTTAAATTCCAACAACATTTCACAAAATAACTGTCTATCATTTTTGATCAAATAAATTCAGCTTTGTTGAGCATAAGAGAATTCTTTCAAAGCAAGGTATTCAAAAATCCTGAGGTATTCATCAAACCTTTGAATGGTAGTTTATATGTAATATGCAAACACACACACACCTCGGGTAAAGAGCAAAGAGTGTGTGACGAAGCGCTTTTATCTCCTGAGAGTGTGCAGCTCGGGCTCGTGGTGGCGGCGTCTACAGAGAGCTCTGCCGGTCCAGTCGAACACTTCTTCACCTCCATCGCCTCATCAAACGCCTGACTGTTTCTGTGAAGAGAGCGAATCTTCTCCTGGTTAAAGAGGATTTATTATGCCCAAAGTCTTGATTTAGTTTTTGGGCTCTACTAGAATGTTTTCATGCTTAAATGAATGTTAAAAAAAAAACACATAATTTTTCACGTTTGACATTGTTACTGCAGCACCTCACTTCCAAGTCTATCAGTAACGCTCTGTTTAGTTCCTGTCTCAATGAAGCTCCTCCTTCTGAAAAGCACACTGTGCTCTGATTGGTCGGCTGGATTAGTGTTATGTGATTGGTCAACCGCTTCCAGCGTGTAACGCCCCTTATTATAACTGGGATTTTCAGCTAACTACTAACTAACTCAACCAGACCCGGGAATTTTTTTAATGAGGAACATTGTGATTATGCTTCCGGAAAAAAACTCAAGACTACAATGGAGGCGTTTCACTTTCAGGGAGTGAACAATGCGCACTGATATAGGAATTAACTGCCAGTCAGAGTGACTTTGTGCTTTATAACTTTGCAGACCTTTTTAATGCTCAAACAGGAACATTGTAATTAGGGTTGGGTATCGTTTGAATTTGAACGATTCTGATTCCGATTCCGATTCCTTGTTTCGATTCCGGTTCCTAACGATTCTCGATTCTTTTAAGAGGCAGGGTCAAAAAAGTTTAGCTAACCTTGCTAACCAACAGCCTTTCTGAAGGAAATACTCCTTCTGTAAAAATACTCCTTTTGTCACAAATTTTGAATTTTGCCGAGATTTCTTTATTTTTAGAAAAGTGAAGCCACACTTTGGATCGCCGACGTAAGGTACTCATGTTCGACTCGCGTGGTTATGCCAACACTTTCGGTAGACGCTTCTTCGTTGGAGTTGTTCAGCGGTTTCTTCTTCCGCTCGGCGGACTGTGAATATCGAAACTAGGAATCGAGATTTTAACTTTTGAACGATTCCAGGAAAAACGAAAAGTTAGTCTCGGTTCCAATCGATACTCGATTCTCGATACCCAACCCTAATTGTAATGCACTCTATAGAAAATGTCTATATTTGACCTCTTTTAGCCTCACTCTTTGGTAAAATCCCTTGGTTAAAATTCAACAATGAACAGCACAATTCAGACACAATAATTGCACCCTTTTGAGGAGACAATCAAGGCTTAAACCTTGCCAGTCTTTAAAACAATTCATCATTAGCTAAAACAACAATCCCCTGTCTGTGTGAGCACACCATAAGAAAAGACAGACACCTGACTGCCTAATTTCACAGATGAAAGGCATGACTTTTAAATGCATGCAAATCAACACATTCAGAATCAATTGGCCAACGCAGCACTTGTTTTCTCAGCTGATCACCTGGGTCTATCTGAAGGTGTCCAGTCAAAACCACTGTGCCTGCGAGCTCATTATAGATAGAGAGAGACAATAAAAGTGTCCTTTGATGTAAACTCAGCAGGTCACAGGATCGATTTTAAGGGTAAAGGCCAAAATGAACACGTACAACCAGACACTCGTCATAATGGCCAGAGGAAATATGGAAAGATTAGATAAATGAGACTATTTTAAGATGACAAATAATTATAACACTACCTTTATGAATGCTGTTTTTTGAATATTCAAGAGGGTGAGAATATTCATAATAGAGCCCGACCGATAAAGGATTTTGAAGGCGATACGATACAAATATTTTTTGGTTTTAAAATCCGATATATCGGCCGATATTTTTTATTTTTTTCAGAAACGCACAACAAAACATTATAATAGTTATTTGTAGTTATTTATGAGTTTTAACTTAAATAATATGATAATGCATTTAAAAAAAACTTGTTTCTTTTATTGTCACAAAATATATTAAAGTTCTGATAAATAAAATAATAATTAGTCTCTACAATGCCTTATATAAGCTACCTTATAATTACAATGTCAGGTTAGCTAGTCTATGTTGAGCCATAATTTAACAATAGATAACATCATACTGCAAATGGTAAAACATACATTTTCAATTTAACAGGCCAAGGAGAGACGATTGAGGCGTGTTTCGTTCGTTTTTATTTTTGAAATATTAATTTGTCGGCCATTATAACTGCCGATACCGATAGTTTGGAAAATGTCTAATATTGGCTCTAATTCATAAGGATCCTTTTTCAAAACTAAACCAATTTCACTTTAGTATTGACAAACTGTACAATACTCAACAATGCAACGACGTAGCACTTAATTTTTCTCCATCAGGAATCAATTTAGATCATAAAAGTGTTTCAAAGAGAGACCTGAATGTATTAAGAATGTAAACTGAGTCAATAATTAAGAGAGAGGTCGTTGCAAACTTGTTGTACATTGTCAAATCATCGCACGGCCAGCCAGATCCGGCTCTGTTGTTGGGGTTGAATAATAAATGAGCGGCTTCTAGTGACAGGCTGAATCACCTGAGGGTTTGATCCTCTTCTTTCAGGCGTACTCTGTAAACGTATTTCCAGGGCATGAGAGAGAAGATGTCCCCTTCCTTTAGCCAGTGCCACTGGTCCTTCTCCAGCGGCTGAGGGCTGGCCACAATGTTCGTCTGAATAAAGCACGGGTTCAGGTGTGTCTGCAGGAGAGAAACCAGAGGAATGCTGGTCGATCACATGCACATAACTCCTTTTGCACAGGTCTTTATCACACTATTCAGAATTATTCTGCCATATGTTCGTCATCGAGATACGCTGACACACAGCTTTGACAATCTCTCTCAAAATAAAAGTCACATAATTGAGCTGATCTCATGATACCATTATTTATATACTATTATAATAATATGTATTAACATTTTGAATTGAAGTTTAACTTTGTTATTTTTTAAATTAAAAAATGACAAAAAAAAATTCCATTCAAAATTCCATTTAGCTTTACTTTTGGTTTTAGTAATTTTAGCACTTACATTTATTTTATTTCAATTGATTTTATTTTAAGTTTTTTTATGTTTAAACATTTCATCTAATATTTAAACTATATTTCAATTAATGAAAATCATTTTACAATAAAGTTTCACCCTGTGGTGGTAATACGCTTTAAGACAAACCATGTGTCGCTGGTGTTTCTGACGTCACACACTAGCTTGTAACCATCAGATCAACCAATAACAGGTACTTACTACATGTTAACAAAAGAGACCCTAATGCATTACCAAAACTTAAATAGGTTTGGTTACAACATCAACAAAAGTGAACTGAGCTTGTGCAGCAAGAAACATTTGCATACTTGCCTATAGTGTGTTTAATGATTTAATTCAATTATCTAATAATAATCTGAATATTCATGAGATAAATGCAGTTTTGAAAACAAGGGCTTGTTAAAAACTCAAGAGTCAAAAGATCAATCGAGGTGAAAATTACGCAAACGCAATCATCGCTGCTATGCCAGCATGACTGAGAGGCAATAATGACACGTGTAATTAAGAGCGACAGCTGCGAAAGAGAGGAAGAGCTCTTCATCACCAACTTCTAAAGTCTTAACATCAAAGGCCAGTGCCGCTTTTGTTCGACAGAAGGGTCTGAGATGACAAGACCACCATCACGACTCTCTGCCCACATGAGACAACTAACAGAAACCTACGGGCTTCAGACGCAGTTGGCCGTTTTTGTTCTCCAGGATGCAGTGGTTCCTGGACACCCTCTTATCATTCACCTGGTGCAGAGAAAAACAAGAGAGGGAAACAGAAATATACATCTTTGCGAAACAATATATGATGATAAACTGCATGTTAAATGGGAATTTATCAAGGCATCTGGTGATATATGGTTCAAAAGTTTGCATGGGGTCAGGTCTTTCTTTTAAAGAAATTAATATTTGTATTCAGCAAGACTACTCCTTTAAGCAGAACAACTGTTTTTAACATTGATAATAATATGTTAATAAAGATTTCTGAAGGATCATGTGACACTGAAGACTGGAGGAGTGATGCTGAAAATTCAGCTTTGATCACAGGAATAAATTACATTTTAAAATATATCTGATTTACTTTTCACTGTATATTTGATCAAATAAATGTAACCTTGGTGAACCCAAGTGATTTCTTTCAAAAACATTTTTAAAAATCTTTCTGACCCCAAATTTTTAAATGGGAGGTTAGTATTCTTATATGGACTAAATTCAATATCTCTTACAATCATAAATGTCAAATGGCACCCAGCACTATCATAAACAGATTGCTATCAGTATCTCAGTATCATGACACACTTCACTAAGATCTGGGTGATTGAAAAAAGACCACATGATATAAAATGAAATGGCCCGTATAAGCGTCCTGTCTTGTCTCTTGACATATTTCCAAGAGATTTTTAAAATGTGTTTATATGCTAACGTTGATCAACTTTTAGGTGTACACTAGCTTATAGACAGATAACACACATACAATAAAAGGCAAAAATCTTCCGTTTTGATTTTAACAGGTCTTCAAAAAAAAAAAAAAACGTTTTGTTAAATATGTGGACCACTCCGTAAGTGATTTAACCTCAATGTCACAGATTTCTAATCCTAAGATTTGAGAGTGTCTAGTGCCATCTTCAGGGCTTTGCTTGTCTTACTCCAAAATAAATAGCCCCATCATGCATGAAACTGAAAGTAACACTTTTGTTGTGAGAGTATTACACCAAAATAACAACGAAAACATTCAACATGATATTTGAACAATCTGAATCAACAAATTATCCATGCAGTCTTCACATAAAAACACTCTTTTAATTCACTCTCAGAAAAAAGTACAAAGCTGTCACTGGGGCAGTACTTAAGGTACAAAAGCAAAAAGGTACATTATTTACCCCAAAATGGTGCATAATAGTAACTTAAAGGTTCATATTAAACACCTTACCTTAAAAATACATTTTTAGTTCCTTAAGTGTACATATGAAATTAATACCTTGTTTAGCTTTTGTACATTAAAGTACTTCCAGTAACAGCTTTGTACCTTTTTCCTGAGTGTTGGGTCAAAGCACACAACAGACTAAACGTACTATACGCATTATAACTTGTTAATTTGCACAAAGTCAAGAAACATTGGGCAAAGTTAATATGCAGTCTGATATATTATCAAGACATAGTAATGGTTCACTCACTTACCCCCAGAAATGGTCCTCTCCCCAAAACAGTGTCTCCATCGGGAATGTTTATAGGACTGCCACCGTCCACCTGCTCCAACTCAAAGCCTGGCATCTGTGCAGAAGAAAAAACAGAGACCAAAATATGAAATATCTTTACTTAACTATAAAAAACAAAACAAAGTGCACACGAACAGATTTATGCTCGCACGCGCTGCTGTCTTTCTCAGTACAAACTCTCCCAAGTATGAGACAGAATGACTTATACGAATTCGTTAGTGTTGTATGAAACCCAACTTTTCGCTACTTCATGTAAATAAACGTGCAAAAGAAACTCACTGTGTTGACTGACCGTGAAGTGTAGAAAGAAAAAAAATGAATAATGATTACTTTTCGTGCGCGAATAAGCACTTCCGGTGAACTCCACCATTAGCACGCGCTGTATAAACACGCACGTCGGACTTATCCAAAGCTCTTGTCGACGAAGGTGTGCACATTTAATATAATATCAAATGTAACCTATAATTCATATTTTGCACTAATAACAAAGACTCAAAAGGACTCTACATTGGCGCTGAAGAATCGCGCATGCGCAGTGACAACTGGGCGGGGAGGCTTGCCTCATGACGTTTTTGTCGTAAACAAACAGAGACGTTTAAACCCTCAGCTGTCAGCGAGACGCGACGTTCGGTATGAACCTTTGCAAATAACATGTTTTTTTTTTTTTTTTTTTTTTTTTTTATATCATCTTGAATATCACCGTACCGAATACAGTTATTTAACGTTAGATGTAACCGTTTCCTGGTTGTTTTTAAAATCTCTTCTACCCATTTGATTAGCAAACGTTAGCTAGACTGACGGTTTTGGTGCTGCTGTGTCCCAGTAACGAACAGATACTGCAACATGGACAATATTAGCGTCGTGTTGCTTAAACAATTGTGTTATATTTGCGAGTCAAAGGTTCTGTCATTTAAATAAACTTGGTTTGGGAAACTGAAACTGTTTTAGGACGCGGAGAGATGCATAACGTCTGCAAAAGGAGCAAAAGCGCCATCTTCAGGCCTGAAGGAGACCCATCCATGGTCCCAGGTGCTCATGATCCACTTCAACAGGACTTTGCAGAGACCCTGCCAACAGAGATGAGTGTGAGGATCTTCAGCGAGCTGGACGTCAGGAGTTTGTGCCAGGCCTCGCTCACCTGTAAAAACTGGAATGACATCATCGAGGGCAGTGATCACCTGTGGAGGAGCCACTGTTTTACGGTGCTGGCTATTTGCCAGAGAGAGGTGAACGGGGACAGGCTTGATGGATGTTCGTGGAAGGTTTGTGTTATTAATGTTCTGCTCCTTTTTGTACCTAAATCTCTGCTGTTTGTTTACCTTTCTTCTTCCTTTTGTCCCAGGTTACTCTTGTGCGTAACTACAGGAAAGGCTGCGTAAAGAGGAGGTGGCTGAAGGGCCGGTACAGTAACATCCGCTCTGCCGACGATATCCCTCCCAACAGCATGTGTCCACTGGATGTGGAGACCTGGGGAGAGATACTGGAGGCAGAACTGGAGAGATAAGAGACTTTTGGGATCATGCCAACAGGCTGAAATATATCAGATATGCCTCTACAACTGAGAAGTTTTGACTGAAACACTGGCTGGATCCTATATTGAATTTTATAATCAGTGTTGCAAAACAAAAACACAGACTGAGGCGGTCAGAAAACATGATCAAGTGTATCTTTTGTAATGGAAAATGTTATTTCCATTACTGAAATTTGCTAGAGACTGTATGGGAAATTCGATTTTATAGGTTTGAAATTGTTTTATAGCTGGAACAGAGAGAGATCTTTTCTTTGCTTTTTTTTTTTAAAGTGTGCACCTTATGATTTTTTTTAAAAGTTTTGAACCTAATCAGTGTTGCCAAAAAGCACAAAGATTCAGTGGCGGTCAGAACACATGATAATGTGGCTTTTGTTATGTAAAATTGTATACTGAAATTTGCTTCAGACTCTATGGGAAATTACATTTTATAGGTTTAATGCGATGGATTTGTTTTACTTTTGAAATTCAGATTTGTATTAATTTATTTGATTTTCAGAGTCACTGCCAAAAGTGTTTTACCTTAAATCATGCAACAATTATTTTATAAAAGCTAATATATTATTTAAAATCATGTGTCCCTATGCTATACTAATCTCTTCGTCCCCGGCCTTCCATGCTGTTGCTGCTGCTATCTGTGCATATTTCTTTATAACCACATAACCATTTTAAACAACAGATAAATATTGTCATGCCATGAAATGGGAAGCTGTTTTATGTTGAAATGTAGATTTTGAAAAGTATGTGCATATAAGATTGGCCCTGAAGATTATTAGACCAATTATGTCTTTAACGGCTAATTAATTGCATTATGCAATCTCAAGCTAAATTAACTTGTTGGAAAAACCTAAATATGAAGGTTCTCCATTCATGTCTGTCAGTCATATAATGGAGGTCTATGGTCACCACCTCAAAGAGCATGCACAGAGAAGTCCAAATTAAACATGATTTAATGACTCGTAAATGTGAGTACACACTGATGGCCTAAGACACGAAACGAGTGGTTTGTGTGAGAAAGCGAACAGAATTTTTATCGCTTTTACTTCTTGTAACCACAGCCACAAAGCGCCGCACCCTTAGATCACTTGGACGAGAGGTAAAAACGATATAAATACTGTTCGTTTTCTCACACAAACCGCTCGTTTCATGCCAGGCATCAATGTGTACATTTACGAGTCATTAAGACTTCTTAGACTTCTCTGTGCATGCTCTTTGAGGTGGTGACCATAGACCTCCATTATATGACTGATAAACACGAACGGTTTGACCTAAAAATATCAAAATTTAAACTACTGCGGAAACAAAGACACTTACATCTTGGATGCCCTTGAGGTAAATTAAACATACCAAAACTTAATTTCAAAGTGAACTATCCCTTTAATTTAGTTAGTTATTAAACATTAATTTTATGTTAATATTTCAAGCTCACCAAACACATAATAGCAGCTTTTTGAGTGTGTGTTTAGAACATTATATATTTAATGTGTTGAAGACACGATTCTTCAACTCATGATTCTTCAGTTTCAGCACTTTGGACAGGGACTGTTTTAATCGACAAAATAACGGAGATGACGTGGACACTAACTAGTGGGTTTTCGATCTAAATCGAATGCTCGATAAGCCATTTACGATATCTATGACTCCTAGAATACAAATATAGAAATATAAAAACAATTTGTAGGGTAGTTATCACTGATCTGACATCAGTGATAACTACTGATATCATTCTATATAGATCAGTTATTCCTATTTGCCAGCGTTTGTTTACCCAGCGCGCGCCAGCGAGAATAATGGGCAGCACTGGTGTAGTATAGGAGAAGCATAGATGTGATGGCTTGTGTAGACGTCACAGCATCTCTCAACAGCTTCCTGGGACCATCCCTGATCCGCCATCCCTTTAATGACGGGGAGCCCTGGAAACACATCGACCTCCGTAATCTCGCAGCTATGGCCGACGTTCCAGCGATAATAAACATCGCGATTTCACTGAAAATCCAACCTAATGACGGGCCGGTGTTTTATAAAGTGGACGGGACGAGGTTCGGCCAGAGCAGGACAATCAAATTGCTAACAGGATCGAAATACAAAATCGAGGTGATCGTGAAACCGGGTAGCGCGGAGGCCACGTAAGTCGGTTCAACGTGAATACGCGACTGAATGAATCGTGTAAAGCCAATATGCATTCTGATATGTTGTCACTTACAAATAGCTCTTAGTGTTGTCGTAATATTTTAATGATGTCGAAATATGCACCTGCGCCCCTGTAAGAAATAATTTAGCCTATAAATAGACTGCTCTGTAAAACTGAGCCGTGTGGTCTTTAAAGTTTTATCGACAGGAGGAATTTCAGATGCTTGTCTCAACCTGACATGTTTAAATGGGTTTTCAGCACAATGGGGATCGGTGGAAAGACCTTCCCGTTGGAGCAGCAGTCCAAAGATGAGGAGCAGATCGTCTACAATGGCACCTATGATACTGAGGGTGTGCCACACACCAAGAGCGGCGACAGACAACCAGTGCAGGTCTCCATAGAGGTAACAGAACCAGCAGGGGAAAGAGTATTTAACACTGAAATCATGTGGAATTTGTAGGTGCTAAATTGCTCATATAGAGGATTAGGGATTTGAAGCTACGTCCTACCGCAATATTTTGGCTTGCATGATGCCTCAAATCTTTTTTTGCTTGTATATTTGTAGTGGAGCATGCAGCACAAAATTGAGAATCATGATTTTTTTTTTCTTAACAAAATAACATGTGATTTGGTTCTGACAAAATGTTAATTGCTGCAGTTTATTCCAAAATTCAAGAAATTTCTGTCTCATGACAGCCGGATAATGGGAAAATCAATTTTGCATTTAAGCAATCTGCTCAAATTTCCTTAAATTTTGCATCTTCAGAACATCCAAACCAGTATTTAAGAGAGTTGCAAGCACTGTAAAAAAATATTGTTGGTCTAACTTGAAGTAACCTGGTTGCCTTAAAATTATAAGTTATTAAAATAAAAAAATTGAGTTGATACAATGATCGTTTGAGATAAATATGAAATACATACATACATGATTTAAGTTGATTTGATCAAAGAAAAAATGTTGTGATTACAAATCATGAAATTTATTTATTTATTTTTACAGTGTAGTTGAGTTTGAGTCAAAGAGGACTTATGACCTTTTGGATTTGGATTTTAACCTACTTTATTAATTCATATTGACTCAATTTAAAATCAACTTGGGTTGACATTAATTTGAATAAATATATTTTTTAAATCAGTTAAAAATGATCCCAAAAAATAGAAAATCTTGGCTAGCTTTATAATAGGAGTGAATAGTAACTGTAATTTTGAATTTATTGAAAAATATATAGAGCCTAGATTTTTATTATTATCAATATATATTAACGAATCTCCAAAACATGACACTCAAATTTTATATTTGAATTGTATTATATTGGATCTATATTAAATGAAAGTACCTGTAACACCTAAAAAATAGGGCTGCCAAACGATTAATCGCATCCAAAATAAAAGTTTGTGTTTACATAATATATGTAGGTGCACACATGCATGTATATTTAAGAAAATAAATATTATTTATATCTAAAATATTTCTATTTATATATAATATAAAATATATATATACATGAAAATATTTCTTAAAAGATAAACAAGAATGTGTGTAATTATACACAGTGCACCCACATAGCCTATATTATGTAAACACAAATGTTTATTTTGGATGCGATTAATCGCGATTAATCGTTTGACAGCCCTAATGGCAAAACAAATCAGATTCAGGATGCTACTGTACATGCTGTACACATGAAGAAAACTGAACTATAAAATGAAAACCCACCATCTTCCTGTCGTTGCCAGTTCAAAGATGCCGGCATGTTTGAGACGGTGTGGCAAGTGAAATACTACAACTACTACAAGAGAGAACACTGCCAGTTCGGCAACAGCTTCAACTGCATCGAGTACGAGGCCAAGCCCAACGAGACCCGCAGCCTCATGTGGATCAACAAAGAGGTCTTCATGTAAAACACGAGCACAGCGACAAATATGCACAATGTGACCTGTAACCATCATGGGGCCGCTGTGTGCGGGACTGATGACTCCGAGCTCCTCAGTGAACGTCCGTCAGGGTATCTGTTCACCAGTCAAGCAATGCACCTGTTTGTTCGATGCATGATTTCCAGTTTCATTTACAGTATGTCTCTTCCTCCACATCCTGCCTGAGCTGGTGAAATCTGAAAAAGACGAGTTATAGTGTGAAAGTTTCCATTGGAAAGGATTTTCAGCTCTCTCTTGGTCATTTGCACATCACATATCTGCTCTATTATGGTTACAAATGCACTGAGACCATCTTTCCACAAGACTCGGATGAGACAGCTCTGAAGGCCTGTATATTTAACCGAGTCGTTTGCTGTTAAAGAGACAGGCAACGCTTGCTCAAAAAGGTGCTGTATGAACACAGGCTACACATGATACTCTATATTAGTGTGCATAATGTAATATTATAAAAGTAAAGACCAGTCAGTTAATATTGTGGTCTAACCAGCGTAAAACAATTATTTATTTTATGACAGGCGTGCCTGTTTATGGTGTGGATGGATGTTTAATTATTTCCCATTTTGTGTTACTGTTGTTTACTGCTTAAACTGTTGCCTATTTCTTCACAGAAGCATTAGTTCACTGGTGAGAGTTGAATCAGAAATGAAGTTAGTGCTTTAATTCTATTGTTTTGACTTAATTCTATTCCCATTTTCAGATTGTTTGTTTGCCTATGTGTGTTGCTGAATATCAGTCTTGTGTGAATTTGAGCCAAACTTTTGACTTTGTTTTTGTAAGAATATAAAAAATATTGTTGCTTGAAATTCTGTGCTGTTTTAATAAATACGTTACAGTTTAAGACAAAAGACCAAACGAAGAATAAGGCAAGGAAACACGGAAAAATCTCAAATAACATGCTGGTTTTAGCTACGCATACCGATACCTTATTGCTGACAGAAATCATTCTAGATAGCTAGATTATCTTACAATGTCCATCATATGAAGATGTTTTTGTCAACAGGAAGCTGGTGCAGATTATATACCGTATATGGGTTGTTATTTAGAAAAAATATGTACATAGACACACACCTGAAACACTTTAAGATGCAAATACCTGTAATGGCCACCAAATGTCGATTCAAATTTGATATTTTTAAATACAAAAGCAGGCCTCACAATAAAAGTATGGATAACCAAACCGTTGACTTCCATGGTAAGGAAAATTTGGTTTGTTTACCGACAAAATATCTTCTTTTGTGTTCAACGGAAGAAATAAACTCATACAGGTTTGGAACAACACTGTAAAAATTAATACGCTTTATCTAATCAATTAAATTGTGGCAACAGATTACAAGCAATATTATTAATTAAATTGAACAAATTAGAATTGAGTAATAATGAATTATTCCTTAAAAGTTGACCATTTAAAATGAGTAAAGTTTACACACAAAAATAAATATATACAAAAATATCTGAATAACAGACAGAACTCTTTATTTTATATTGCCAACATTGAAGACGCCTGATGTTAACAAGCAGAATCACTGAAGGAGAAACCTAAAACAAATGGCGACTTAAATGAATGTTTTTTTGTGTGTGTGTGTGTGTGTGTGTGTGTGTAAGTTTTACTCATTTTAAATGGTTTACTTTTAAGGAATTAATTTTGAATAATTATTACTCAATTTGTTAAATTGAATTAATAATATTGCTTGTAATCCATTTGTCTCAATTTTTTTGATTAGATAAAGTGCATTCATTTTTTACAGTGAACATAAGGGTGAATAAATAATGACAGAATTTTCATTTTTTTTGTGTGTGAATGTTGTTCAGTTTTTGTTATGAATGCTGTTGGTACTTTTGTGTGAACTATCCCTTTAAATAACAGCTAACAATAAATATCCATTCACCTCCTCTTCCGTAAAATCAAAATACTATGAACGTTAATGATGCAAAAGTTCATGTAGCCTATATATCTATGGTATATATTCAGGGAGAGAATATCAGGCATACATACCCGGATGTGATGTATGTACTGTTCTAATGCACCTCCCCCCTCCGCTCCGTCCCCATCCCTCCCTCCCTCTCTCTCTCTCGCTTTCTCTCGCTTTCTCTCCCTCCACCACCACCACCACCACCATCAGCTCAACCCACTGCCTGTCTTCTCCCCCTCCGCTGCGGACCTACCGAAGCCACTGCAGTGAATCCTCCAATCTTCAAACCGAGAACAAGATCCGAGCGACGCGCTTATCGCGACTTCCTCGCTCAGAAAAATACGTTAACCGTCAGCGACAGTTGAGTTCCGCGAGATTCTGCACAAGGCGAAGAAACCCCTCCGACAGAATGGTAAGGATCCCCTACAGCTCTCGCTAAACCGCTCCAAATATACCCGAGATAGCAGATACTTCCTATACTGTTGCGCGTCGTATCAATCGCGCGTTTAACGCGCCTTTCTGGTGCCGTGACGGACTAGAAACGCGCTCGCGGTGTCGTGATCAAAGCCGTTGTTGATAAAACAGAGCCATGGCTGTCAGTGTGGCCCACGTTCAGCCTCTGTGCGCTATGGGTTGAGAAGAAACACACACGGAAAACGCATCGCTATCGTATAGATCCTAGTGTAAATGCTGTATTTGAAGCGATCAGTGATCAACTGTAGAAAAGAGAAACATTTTCAATCGATACGGCTGTCAAACTGATCGAGAGCTGGTTTGATCCGTTGACAACTTGAATCGACTGGTTGATTCTCCAGGAAAGGTTGACTTTGCTGGGCCATCAATTATACGACGGGGATTTCTACATTTTGGGAAGTTTTCTATCCCCTGGCATGATTTTAATTTCACAAACAGATGATTATTTTATTTTCTCCTCATTTTTAGGGTTTCTTAAAGGGGTGGTTCACCCAAAAATTCTTCCAGCATTTAGTCACCCTCAAGTTGTTCCAAACCTGATTATATTTCTGCTGGACACAAAGGAAGATATTTTGAAGAATGTTTCTTGCAACCAAACAGTTGTTTTTTTCTTCTCAATACTGTGGAAGTCAATGGTGCCCCACCCACCCGGACTTTTTTCAACTTACCCTGAATAATAGTTTTATAAAACTTGGGTAACTTTTCATAAGAACGTAAAAACATTTTTCGCCCTGGTTTGATATTAACATGTGCGTTTCTATTGTTCTTATAACAAGACGATCACTGACCCACACGCTGCTGTCATCCTCACCAAGCATTTTAGATTACAACCGCATTTCTTCACAAACCTAATATTCGCTTATTATAAAAATTGCGAAGTGACAGGAATGTTTTTAAAATGTTTACATCATGAACCGAGAATGGATTCATCATATCACGTTTACTGTAATATTATTTAGTGTTGTATGTGCTGATTGATATGAGAGGAAGTCATACCTCAATTCTTTTTTATACAGTTTGTATCTACCAATATACAGAAAGTTGAAGAAACAAGCAACCTACAGGATTCCCTTCTTCTGATATATTATTCTTCTGACAATAAAAGTCTTATTAGTATTCGGTGTATTACCAATAACAGATTAATTTGTGCCAAAATAGGGTTTGATTGGACGTTCTGTCATTGGGGTAAACAAAAGATAAGGAAAGGTGATATTTGTTTTGCTATCCTAACTATAAGTGGTTAGTTGCATATTACTTTATGTACATTTGTGTCATTTTTTTTTTTCTATCAGAACAAATCTGTAACCTTTTTTGGGTCTTTCTTGACCTACTAAGACATTTATTTTTAAACATTTTTTTCTATTAAACTGGTTTATGACTGGTCAAATAATGCAAATGTATTGGCGTGAAGGTGTGGGAACCCTGAACTTGTTGTTTGTGTACCGATTTCTGTGTTGCATGCATTGAATTTAGCCTCAATTTACACCGAATTGCTATCATGAGCAGAGTGGCTGATACAATGCATATGTATGTATAATTAATGATGGCAAATAAAAGCTACACAATGTAAAAGGTTAACCCTTTTACGACCCTAGTTGGAACGTGGAATAAGCACTTATTTTTAATCAGATGCTGCAATCGCCCATTGAGAGAATCTCAGTGTGTAAATCTGTGTATCAATGACCCTAAAAGAAGACATTCAATGCACTCAATTCAAAGAAAGAAAAGTGTGCATACCTGAAATGCATGGCGTAGCATTACGTGCTTCAAGGACTAGCTTCAAAGACCCAGAATCAGCCTACACTACCAACAGCATGACTATATTCATCTTAAAATGTATACCATGTATAAGTACCTTAAGCTCTGGACTAATTTGGATCATTTTCACGTTTCCACTGCCGATTTGGGTGGAAAATGAGTTTTAAAAAAAAGAATTAGCATGGTAAAATGCTTTAAGCAGAGTTGAGAGCACCATACTATTGACTTATGTACTATATTAACTAGGGATGCACCGATATCAAAATTTTGCATACCGATAATAACCAATAATTTGATATATTTGAAAGCCAATAACCGATATGTTGGCCGATATATATAAATCCAAATTTTTATATATAATTTTTGAGAGTCTGATTACAAAAGCGTTCATTTTATGTAGCCAATATGACAGACTTAACTGTTTCACTTAACTGTATTTTGCTTTTTTGAAGTGATTCCAAATCATATTTTAAGCAATTCAAAACCATCTTGGCTGAAGGAAATAGTCCATTATTTATCAGCTTTAATATATCAGGCAAATTTTCTTATCTGGCCGAGGATAATATTAAAAATTAACATATATCGTCCGAGACCGATATATCATGCATCCCTAATATTAACTTCATGCTAAAGTTCTATTGTATGAAATAATGGCCAGTTAACAGTAGCTCGCCTTGTACTATATTAGCTGACTTTGGTTTGTATTTGTTGTTGCTGTCTCTTTAGGATAAATCCCTTAATTAGTTATTTTGTGGCATTGATTTATAATTTTAAAGTCGTAATGAAACAGAAGTAGTGGCCGATCTTTTCTTCCGTATTGTGACGTACATCTGAGTAAAACGGATTGTTGAAAACAAATGTAAGGCGGGGTTTGGTTCCATGCAGTGGTTGTTGAGATGTGTATGCAAGCCCTGTCCCAAATCACACACTTCAAGTGGACTTGTCCGTTAAGTCCACTAGACCGTAGGGTGTCCCATTTTTCATTTTACGTTTCAGAAGTGTCCCTTTGCGGCCGTTATTTGCACTTTTACCGAGACCGCAAACCCACTACCTCTGCGGACTTCTACCCGACCGCGATAGTGACGTTACTTCGCAAAAGTGTGGACTTGGAGGAAGATTGGGAAGGTTTGGGGTTCAATTTGGGGCAGGGCCGCTGATGACCACGAGCTTGAAGGAGCAGGGTTTAAGTGCACTAAATAAAGTCTTGTGTTTTCGCCAATTATGACTTTTTTAATTAAATTAATTTGATTTAATGTTAAATCAAAATATTTGTTAAAAATGAATCATGCACAGATGACTTGTTCACAGTAAGATGTAGAGCCCAACCGATAAAGGATTTTGAAGGCCGATACCGATACAAATATTTTTGGGTTTTAAAATCCGATATTCCGATATATCTGCCGATATTTTATTTATTTTAAACTGGACATGATAGTCACAAATTTTGTCATGCTTATTTAAGTTAAGAGAACTGATGGGGATGTTCTTTTAATTTGTCCGTTATTCAAGCAATGAATGTATCGTGCCTAACTCAACGAATGTTGCCAACAGGGACGGTGTAGAGTGCCCTCTGGTGGACAAACTATACAACTCCAACACTCATGACGTGGTTCAAGCGTGTTTCGTCCGTTTTTATTTTATTTTTGAAATATTCATTTATCGGCCATTATAACTGCCGATACCGATAGTTTGGAAATTGCCGATATATCGGTCTGGCTCTGTTAAGATGTGTTAGCATGCATGTAGAAAAGAGATGGGGTGGATTTTCTATAAAACAGCTTTGAAAAGTAGTACATCTGCAAAATTATGCAAATGTATGCGTTGACCTGATGTTTAGGCCTGATTTGCGTATTCATTTAATATCATTACTTTTCATCTGCCCTTTCCCTTTAAAAAAACCCCAATAAATGCTTCGAGCATTTATTAAAGTATTTTCCTTGAAAGTAAAGATATAAGTGCGTGCCAATTGTGCCAATACTGAAGGAACGTCCTGATTGGACATTTGAAAAGATTTGGAATGTGGTGACGTCATCTAGGGTAAAATGTAGCCCAAATATAGTTACATTTTAGCCGAGCATTCATTCCCTGTATGAAAGTTTCCTCCAGCTTTTGCTTTGCTTCAAGGTGTCTTTCCTCGCCTGGTGACTTTGCTCACGCTTGAGGCCATATAACCAGATGAAGTAATCCTAAACCCTCAATCCACTTTAAGTTAATTTGCTGTCGCTCTACCACTAAAGTTAAAATAGCACAGGGCACTCAACCTTAGCTAACCTGCTAGCTGTGGCAAAACACTGTCTGATTGTAGCGCACATGAGCGTGCTAACTCGTTTTAGAGGGAGAGACACACTGAAACGGCTCTATTTGAATACAGTAAATAAGTGAAGTCACTGTGTGTGACCTGTCTGTCCCACACGGGTCTAATCTACTTCCACACCATATGTGCAAACACACACAGTGCCAAAAATACATCTCCTCCACTACATGTTTATACAACAGAAATGTTAACACTTCTCCTTTTTACAGTTTTCGTTCATTTTCTCTCATCTTATCCCCCACGGGAACTTGATTTTGTAAGCTGTGAAACTATGTAATACACATTTAATGGAGGAGAGTATAGATATTGCTGTATCCTTCTAGGCACAGCGATGGCCCAGTTTATCTGTCCCGCTCTCTATATTGGGTTGTGGTAGCTTTGGTTTCTTCCTGCAAGTCATAACAGGCCTCCAGCAATCCACTCCTGAAGGCACCAGCCCATTTGCTGACTTGAAGCAACTTGATTTTTGTCTGGGATGTGTCACGCCGAGTGATGAACTCGCCGTTTGTTGAAATCTTGCCCTCTGGCTGTCTTGTACGTTCATTTAAAAATCAAATTGTATCATTTACGCATCCCAATGCCAGATTATTTTTCTTCTCTGAAACCCAAAATTAAATTTACATTCCAAAAGTGTCAGTAAAGCTTGTTTGCTCAAAGAATCCTGAAAAACTTTGCCATGGATTTTAGATATTGGTGTTGCTACCGTTTACATCTATAATAATCCAGGTTCATTTGCCATCTGTAGCATCGTAAACGCACCCCGAAAATCTGATTATCTACTTAACTAAGACGCGTTAGGTGCCATAGTGGTGACTCTGAGGACCCTTGTGACTCTGTGACAGCTATGTGTCATGTAGTGAGAACATATGAAAATGTTCAACACACACAACGTTTTCATCACAGGAAATAGTAGCCTAAAAACATATTATGCTTGGTTGAGGTATTTGATGAGACCTAAATCGTTGATTGTGTTGTTATAAATCAGAATCAACGACATTACAAAACGAATTCCCCTTGGTTAAAATTTGAAGTGTATTGTCATGCTGATCCAGACTCTTGTTCTCTCTCTACAGGGAAATGAGGCGAGTTATCCCTTGGAGATGTGCTCACACTGTAAGTAAACTGGGTACTTTTCCTTACTATTTAATTAGTAAATAGGGAAATTCAGTCATCATTTATGCAGGTCGAGCATGATGCCTTACTTAAAAACCACCTATCCATGTCTGGATTTGTTTCAACAACTATCAAAAACGTGTTCGACATCAACAATATAGAAAATGGTGGTTATGCAATTATTGAGGATTGTGTAGGAGATGGCGACGTTTGGAAACTAATGCTTTTGTATGCTTGGATGGGTTAAAATCCCTTTAAGGCTAGTCAGTCCACATGGCCATCTTGACAGGGCCCCTAGGCAGTGGTTAAATGAGGTTTGCCGTTTTGTTTCCTTCCCATAAGAAAGAACTAGATATTGCATTTAGGGCTGTGAAACGATTAATCGCGATTAATCGCATCCAAAATAAAAGTTTGTGTTTACATAATATATGTGTGTAGTGTGTATAATTATTTTGTATATATAAATAAATATGTATATATTTCAGAAAAATGTGTTATTAATATATCAAATATTTATGTATAATATAAATATATATAAAGTATAAACATGCAAATATTTCTTAAATATATACCTGCAGAATGGCTCTATTGGCTCTACCCCGACTAAAAAATTCCTAATAAACAAAATAATGTTATGACGAAATGTTAATTGCTGCAGTCTAGTTTTAAAATGTTTAATTCATTTATACATTATACATAGTTAATACATGTTGCTCGTTGTGTATGATCAGAATAGGCAGCCGTCAGTGTAGTCTAGTTTGGTCCTTCAAACACTTGTGCCGGCTGCTTTGGGATCAGCTGGAAGATCAAGACATGAGGGAGAGGGCTTTCCCTGGATCAGTGGGGCTATCCAGGTTTGGAGGAGGGCCAGTGCTAGACTGGGTGGCGTAAGGCTGCTGCTGTGGATATGTGGGCTATAAATGCCTCCAGCTGGTAAAGGTTAGTCTCAGGGCTGTTTATTTATAGAGTTGGTGGGGGTGAGTAAAAGATCATGAGGCGATGGCCCATTTTTAATAGGTTTCTTTTTTGTGTGGTTCGTAATTCTTGACAAACATGTTTAGGAGAGCTTGTGGATTTTTGATAACCGACATTTTTTTTTGCTGTGGATTTGATGGCCAAGAACCAACTGTTTTCACTTATTTAAAGGGACAGTTCACCCAAAATGAATATTATGCCATAATTGTTCTAAACTAAAAGAAGATGTATATAAAAAATGTCTTGTTGTTTTGTCCAAACAATGAAAGTCAAGGAGATCTTCTTTTGTGCTCCAAGCAGACAAAAGAAAGACATGAGGATGAGCAAATGATTACAGAATTATTGTTGTCGGGCGAACTATCCCTTTAAGAAATAATCCTAATCTAACCTTTGCACATATAGAGAAAGAATTTGCAGAAATTTCTCCACTAAAGTTATTAGAGTATGTTTTATATAAGCTACAAATACTATTTCAGTCTTTCTACTTCAAAATTTCATGTTTAAGTCAAGTGCAATTATTTGGGAATTTCACTGACTATTTTTAAATGATAAAATTGTTCAACTTCACAGAGATGGGATTAAAGGGATAGTTCACTTTGAAATGAATTTTTGGTAGGTTTTAACTTGCCTCTTTTTGATATTTTTAGGTCAAACCGTTCATGTCTGTCAGTCATATAATGGAGGTCTATGGTCACCACCTCAAAGAGCATGCACAGAGAAGTCCAAATTGAACATGATTTAATGACTCGTAAATGTAAGTACACATTGATGGCCTAAGACACGAAACGAGCGGTTTGTGTGAGAAAACGAACAGTATTTATATCGTTTTTACCTCTTGTTACCACTAGAGTACATCACTTGGATGTGGCTGTTTCAAGAGGTAAAAACGATATAAATACTGTTCGTTTTCTCACACAAACCATTTGTTTCGTGTCTTAGGACATCAGTGTGTGCTTACATTTACGAGTCATTAAATCATGTTTAATCTGGACTTTTCTATGCATGCTTTTTGAGGTGGTGACCATAGACCTCTATTATATAACTGACAGACAAGAACGGTTTGACCTAAAAATATCAAAATTGAAACTACTGCGGAAACAAAGACACCTACATCTTGGATGCTCTTGAGGTAAACTAAAACATACCAAAAATTAATTTCAAAGTGAGCTATCCCTTTAAGATGGGCCTTACTCGTACATACAGCACACCGCGGAGAATACGCTACACGTGTGTTGTCCTGTGAGCAAGAGGACAAAACTCTTTCAAACATTTGATGGCACTAACATGGCAAATCCAGTGATTTTTATTCTTCCTCAACACCGTAATGATGAAAGCAGTGGGAGGTCAAAGGTCAAGGCGAGCCGAATTCCCAGGAGCTTATGCTGCCGAATGAGGTTCCAGTAATGACTTGTGCAGGACTGTAACTGTGTGATAACGAGTGCGCTGCTGTGAAACTGAGCCACCTGTTGGTCAGATGGGTGCTTAGCAACCACAAGGACATCATAAGGCCTCTCAAATTAGCAGCTGTGGTAACACAACACTTATGACATCATCCCAAATCAGTTTTGTAGATGAGATGCATCTGGCAAACACAGACTGTTTAGTTGACTTTCAAAAGAAAAGATGGTTCTGGTCACCCGTCACTACATTTCACCCCTACACTGTTTTATTGGATCACGAGAAGGCATTATGTTTAAGAGGGATGTGCAAACAAAATGGATATGTGTCCGAAAACGCCCCCTTTACCCTCATGTACTATTCCCTACATTAGTCAACTTGAATGACAACGAGTGAGTGAATTCGAACACTGAGTGCGCCGGAGGGGCTGTTGTTTTTGCATAGCTTGTGCTTGTCGTTTAATAATCATTTGAAACTTAACAGTTGTAATGAAAAGATTTATCTTGAACTCTAGCATAAGCCTTAATTAAACAATTTAATAATCAAGTGAAAAGGAATTATTTATACCTGTATGATATTATGCTGTACCCACATTGGACCAGCGGTTTGGAAGAAGTCTGACAGCTGATTACTTGAGGTGTGTACCACGTGGCTGTGTGAATGAGATTAGGTCATTTAGCAGTCCGCGGCACACAGCACAACACTGAGCCCTAGCTGAACGGCAGTCCTCTGAGAGATGACCATGACTGCCAGGCAGAAGAAACTGGGTATGGCTCCTTCTGGCTTTCTGATGGGAGCCAAAGATGGATGGAAGTGTGTGTGTGTGTGTGTGAGCGAGAGAGAGACCCTTGGATATAGAGTTTATCCTCCCTCTGTGCGTGTGTGTGTGTTTTAAGACTTGTGCAATCCTCCTAACCAATTGAGATTGACGTTTTGAAGATCTATTATTGATGATTGTAGCCGAGGGAAAGCTTATAAAGGATGTATAATTTAGTCTGTGTTTCGTGCTTGCTTTTCTATTGAAATGAATTGCTCTTCTCGCTCTCTATTTCAGTTGATGCTGATGAGATTAAAAGACTAGGAAAGCGTTTTAAGAAGCTCGACCTTGATAACTCGGGCTCTCTCAGCGTGGAGGAGTTTATGTCTCTACCCGAGCTGCAACAGAACCCGCTGGTGCAGCGAGTCATCGATATATTCGACACAGACGGCAACGGAGAAGTGGACTTTAAAGGTCAGTAAATGTGCAGTTACACATCGTTTAGGGTCGACGGTAGTGACGACATCGCAACGTATACTGAATTCCAATTGGTCTTTTTTTCTTGCATCTATTTGCATGATCAGTTGTGATTGGTTTGGTGTTCCTTGCATATATTTTTAACCATACATGTTTGCCTTTATGCAGAACCAAAGCCTAAAATTGTTTCTTTGTGGCCTATGAAATGTAATATATGTGTTTTCTGAGCAGTTGCATTGAGAAGCGCTAGTTTCAGAGGTGCTCTGTGCACTTGAGGAGTTCAGATGCATCAAGAGTGTGTAAATGGCTACTAATGTCTTTTTCCTTGCAGAGTTCATTGAAGGTGTCTCTCAGTTCAGCGTGAAGGGCGACAAGGAGCAGAAGCTCCGCTGTGAGTCTCTTTCAGTTTTGAATCTCACTAGTCAAGCCTACTGTATCATATTTGATGTGCAAAATTTCATTATCCACATGATAACTGAAACACAATCTACTCCATGCCTCCTGTTGTCTAAATATTGATAGTTTATATTGTTTGAGCAAGTAAGAGGCTTTTAAGTATCATTCTAAAAACGTCCACCTTCAGGTCGTGGTATGCGTGTCATTTTGCTCTGAAATCTTTAAAAGGATACGCCACTTTTTTTGGAAATAAGCTCATTTTACAACTCCCCCAGAGTTAAACAGTCGAGTTTTACCGTATTCAAATCCATTCAGCCGATTTTTTTTTTTTTTTTTTTTTTTAGAAGAATATCAGTAGCCAGACAGTTTCTGGTCTCATTTACTTCCATAGTAGGAAAAAAAATATACTATGGAAGTCAATGAGACCAGAAACGGTCTGATTACTGATATTCTGCTAAGTTTAAAAAAAAAATCGTCTGAATACATTCGAAAACGGTAAAACTCAACTGTTTAACTCTGGGGGAGTGGTAAAATGAGCCTATTTCCAAAAAAAGTGGCGTATACCTTTAAAAACATAAAAATAATTATTATATTGCGTTTAATATTTCAAGATGAACACTTACTGGACTGAAGCAACTTAGGTTTACTTTATTATCCATACATCAATTTTTAGAAATATCACCTGAAAATGTGAGTATCGTTATATCAGATGATCTCTCAATCGTTATTGTATACCGTACATGTTTTTTCTCCCACGATAAAAATTACAGATCATGAAACTAAGCATTTAAATATTTTACTTAGACGTATAATTAAGAAATAGTGACAACTGATATTTAAATACAACTAGGGGTGTGCGATATCGACAAAAAATTATATCTCGATATTTTCTGGGATTTTCTCGATAACGATTATTAGACGATATTTTGTCGAGTAAACAAGCGTGTTTTATTGTTGGTACTTTGACAGGTTTAGGACTGTCTTGGACAGTCGACTCCTAAAGTTTTGATATTCTTCATACTCTGTGTGGCGATCAGTTCACAGCAGTGACAGAAATAATTTTTTTCCAATATGTTTCAATTGATTTTTACCTAATATGGGCAATTTTTTTCAAACCTAATTATATGCATGAATCATCTTTTGTGTCAATTTCATTATTTGAGTCAAATTCAATTATACATCTAAGACAAAATAGAGGTGTAACCAATCAAATGAAATCGGTATCAACAAAATTCATCTTTGCAATATTGAATATTGATATTTTAAAAAAGAAAAGATACTTTAAATGTGAAATTGAAACCACCAATAGGTGGCAGCAAGTCACTATTAATAAAGGAATCATTGAGATTCAACGATTCATTAAAACAGCTGATTCATTCATGGAAAGAATCATATTAATTTACATTACAAGCTATCTGAATTTCATCTTGGTGCAACTGCACCAAATTTTATATTTTTGTTCAGTTTGTGCCTCTGAATAAAATTAACCTGTGTTTTTTCCTTCTAGAGTTAGAGGTCTCTATATTCTCACTATATGAGGCATAAAAGCACGTGGGCGGGTGAACAGCTAATATTTGATGTAATGGGTGGAAGAATATTTACGTTGTCATTTGAGAAGCGGGTGTGTGTCGGGAATAAATAGGCGAGGGCGGACTGCGGGTCCAATATCCAAGACTATTTCGACTCCGTTCGGTACACACTGATAGGCAGCTGCTTTCAGGCGGCCCGTGCATAGTTGTTCACATTCTGAAGAATGTCGAAGGTTTCAATATACAATGCGTTTTGCAAAATTAAACATTATAGCCAATCGCATAATTAAATTAGTACAAAACACATGCAATCTTTACATATATACACTGCCTGGCCAAAAATAATAATAATTTGCTGTTTGTATTTGAATGCAATCCTTAATAGTCTACAATTGGATCATTTTTACAGTGATTTTGATGTTTCTAGCAACAGTTTTTCTAATCCTAATTGATGGAGTGTGCAGCTTTTCATTTCTTAAACTAACATGTAGGAAAACGCATCATGTCTATTTCAGGATGACAATGTCAAGATTCATCAGGCTCAGATTGTGAACGAATAGTTGGGAGAGAGAATGAAGAATCATTTTCACACATGAATCAGCTTTTCTTGAGTCCAGATCTTAAATTCAGTGAAAGTCTTCTCTTCAGGATGTCAATTAGAGCTAGAGCTTCACACTCCATCAATTAGAGCTAGAAGAACTGTTGCCGAACATATAACATGCTAGAAAATAATGATCCAATCATGGACCCTTTACCATTTGCCTATTTAAATACAAACAGCAACTTTTTTTGGCCTGGCTGGCATATACAGTATGTCTAAATGCGTAACAAACTTCTCGATTTTTTTTGGAATTATTTCATGTCAGACTAAAAATGTTGATTGAAAAAAGCTATAAAACTAGTCTGTAGTGCAATGGTGCATTATATCACCTTTCCTGTCATGTTTTTGATTCTCGGTCTGTTTCTGCAGTTGCGTTCAGGATTTATGACATGGACAAGGATGGCTACATATCCAACGGCGAGCTGTTCCAGGTGCTGAAGATGATGGTAGGGAATAACCTGAAGGACACCCAGCTGCAGCAGATCGTCGACAAAACCATCATCAACGCAGACAAGGACGGGGACGGGAGGATATCCTTCGAGGAGTTCTGCGCGGTGAGTCTCACATGGATGAGATGTCCATGTCTGTCTTTCTTCTGTCGAAAAGAAAGGTTTTTCATTTAAACATTCCAGGATTTTTCTCCATATAATGGACTTCAATGGGGTCCAAACGGTTCAAGGTCCAAATGAGTTTAAAGGGTTAGTTCACCCAAAAATGAAAATTAAGTCATTAATTACTCACCCCCATGCTGTACCAACCCCGTAAGACCTTCGTTCGTCTTCGGAACACAAATGAAGATATTTTTGATTAAATTTGAGAGCTGTATAACTACCACATTGGGTCCTAAGGGACTGCCTCTTGACGGCCCAGAAAGTCAATGAAGAAAATGTTTAAATATCCCAAGTGACTACCGTGGCTCAACTATATGTTTATCAAGCGACGCGAATACTTTTTGTGCGAAAAAACAAACAAAAATAACGAGTTTATTCGACTACTTCTTTTCTTCCTTGTAGGCCAGAACGAGACTTCCTTAGATTTCCACGACGCATGCGCGAGATTTGCGATCTGAAGTAGTGTAAGCTGGTGTAAGCAGATCGCAAATCTCGCGCATGCGTCGTGGAAATCTAAGGAAGTCTCGTTCTGGCGAGACTAAAAAGTATTCGCGTCGCTTGATAAACATATAGTTGAGCCACGGTAGTCACTTGGGATATTTAAACATTTTCTTCATTGACTTTCTGGGCCGTCAAGAGGCAGTCCCTTAGGACCCAATGTGGTAGTTATACAGCTCTCAAATTTAATCAAAAATATCTTCATTTGTGTTCCGAAGACGAACGAAGGTCTTACGGGGTTGGTACAGCATGGGGGTGAGTAATTAATGACTTAATTTTCATTTTTGGGTGAACTAACCCTTTAAGTTTTTAAGTTCACTATAACCACTAGATGGCCATAGACCTGCACCATAAGCTATTGTTATGCGATTAACCAAACTACATATCTTTTCACAAGTTTTTCCAGTTGGATTCATATCTAAATATTATAAAATCACAATTATAACGCACCCAAAAAAACTTTTAGTCAAAGTTTAGCATTTTTTTGTACTGACAAAAGTTTTTCAATAATGTTACATTATGCTTAGAATCAAACCTGAGCAAGACTTCAAATGTTGGAGTCTTTAGATTTTACAATTTACTTCAATCATCTGTTTTTAATATAATTCTACAATTTTACTAACTGTAAGTCTGTAACAGAACAAAAAATTACAGAAATTAACAGTTATATTACATATTGAGTAAAAATACATGACATGAACATCAAAATGCAATGAACTAAACAGCAATAACAAATGAGCAAATAAAGTAGTAAAAAAAATAAAACTTATTTAAAAAAGTTTTGTTTCTGTCTGTGTGATCTGCATTGTTTCTTCGTTGTTTCTGATTTTGATGATGAATTTTGTATATTCACTATGCGGGTCTCCAGGGACCCCGGAGATAAGTGTCGGCATTTTTTTTCACGCTAACATAAAAACTGATATCATTTCAATAGATGTGCGTGTATATATATATATATATATATATATATATATGTGTGTGTGTGTGTAGCCCTCAAACCGTATTCACTTTATAGCCCTTAATCCTGTAATTGTGGACAAATGTTGGCACAGAGGACTCAGGTGTGATCCTAATTTTTATTTATTATAAATGTTATATTACTGTCTTCGATAAAGTTTTGTCTATCCATTTATGGTGGGTTTTTTTTATTTTGGAGGTATTTTTGAATTTATTTACTTCAAAAAGTAACATATTTTCTATGTAAATTAATTACTATGTAGTTTTATTTTTTTTACATTTTTTAACTACATTAAAATATCATTCCAATAAGTTCTTAGAGCTAAAACCTAAAGATGAAGTGACTTTGCTGTCACCTGGTGTCTTATTTCGGCTTATTTTAGAGTGCTCTAAATTACAGTTTTTCCCATTCATTTCTATGGGTGCCCATTTTTGACCCAAATACAAGATTAAGGAGTTTGTTTGTTTTTTCACCCACTTAACATTTCAGAATTGAGTCAAAAAAAAATTGTGTGTGTTCAAGAGTCAAACTTAGGAAAAGTAGCCAAGTCTTGGACCGCTCAGGTCAAGAGAAGTATTTTTTAAAAATAAATCAAAACTATTTTGCCCACATTTGTCCAGAATACAGTTTTAAGGATATATATATATATATATAGGGATATAGTGTTATCAGTGTTAAGAGGCATAGAGGTTTTCACACCATTTGGACAAAGAGAATTTTTCTTTAAAAAATTCACCAAAAAAGTAATTTGCGAGTCAAAAAGACCCTGAAAATAACCAGAGGGTTAAATTTAGTTTAGTTAAGATATTAAAAAAAAGTTGGTTATTGCAACATTACACTTCCTTTTTTTTGTTTTACAATCTCTAGTTATGAAATGCACTGATATTTGTTCCCTTTATCCGCAGGTGGTCGGTGGCTTAGACATTCACAAAAAGATGGTGGTGGACGTGTGAAGAGCCCTTCACTGAACACCCTCTTTTTCACTTCTCCATTTCTGAGAATCGGCTCCAGACGTTCCGCTAACGCACGCTCTCTCTCTCTCTCTCTCTCTCTCTTTCTCTCTCTCTCTCTCTCTCTCTCTCTCTCTCTCTATGGAAGTATTCCTGAATGATGCCTCTGTTCCCCGTCTGTACTCCCTGAGCCATCCTAAGTGTTATAGAGCATGAGATTCTTCTGTCCACGTTCTCGGGTATTTAAGGACAGTCAGAGAAACGTCGTCTCTGTCGATTACCGAGCGATTCAGTGTGGTGGAGAAGGAAGAGAGGAGGGTGTGTGTGTGTGTATGCATGTGTGTACGTTCTTTATTTTTATTTTTGAAAGGGGGGGGGGGGGGGTTTCTATTTATTTTAGTCCTGTCTTTTTTAAAGATGATCTAGGTCTACAGGGAATACATGTATGCGAGCGATATATGATTTCAGTGCAACACTCTTTCTTCAAGCATGAAGTGCCAATCGAAACATCCAATAGCTGTATGTTGAAATCGCTATCTGATGTTTTTCATGTCATGGGGAGATTAAAAAAAAGTTTAACAAGCTTATTGTTTTTTTTTTTTTTTTTGGTTTTTCAATCTCGCGCAAAAAAAATGCAAACCCGATTCGAATTTTCTACCGAGAATGTGTGCGTGAATGTGAATGTGAACGTGTGCTGGGGAGTTCATCTACCGTCTTGCTTTCTGATATACAGTAGACTAGGATAAAAAGTAAATATATTTGAAGTCGTGCACATATACATGTATGGTTTACTTTTTAAGACCGGTGTTTTATCACAGGGGTCAGGGAGATCACATATTACTGTAGGATGGAACCGTGCCATCAGTAAACTCAACTTTTTGTGTGTGTGTGTGTGTGTGTGTGTTAACACCCCATTTTAACACCACGAACGAGTCATTTTGATTTACCTCTCGACGTTGCGAGGATGCCGTGCATATTGTGGCGGACTGAATCCACAATAACACCGAATTTGAATATATGTTGTGGAAATTTAAGGTTAATTTTTTCCAACTTGACTGCAGGCAGCATTGTAAAGATCTTAGTAGCTCATATTTGTATATTAGGGATTGAAGGACAGAATGTGTGTTTTGTGGGCTTGGGGTTTTTAAGCTTTAATCGCGTCGGTTCGCAGCATGTAGGCAAAAACCAGACCAGACTGACCATCAGTTTCTCTCTTTCACTTCATCATTTCAAAGGCGGATCGATGGGTTCAAGAAGGAGAGACCAAACTAAACGCTGTCAATGCGGATGAATAAACTCGAAGCGTTCGTTTGCTTTAAATGTGAATCTCCCGCGCAAAGCGGCGCCATCTTCCGCACGGAGACGGCGGGAGACTTGTGTGTCTTTCCTGAAGACTGTCGAGGTCTCGTGATGTGCTTGCATGAGACGGGAGGGTTTCTCTCTATTTTTTTCTTTCTATTGTGCATGTAGTTTTTTTTTTTTGGGGGGGGGGGGTCTTGTTTACATATGAATAGTATGTTTGAGATATAATCTGAATGACAATTATATATAAATATATGGACGTTGCCAAAGTTTTGGTAAATGTTTAAACATGGAAATGATTTTAAAGCGAGTTTCTTCACTACATTAATCCATAAATATGAATATAAAAATGCGTGAGTTATACTAGATGGGTGTCCGTCACTCCCAGCGAAGCTTCTTTTTGTTCTTTTAGTTTTTTTTTCGTTATTGGTTTGGTTGAATTGTTTTGTACAGAATGTGTGTTTATTATTGCTTCTTGCTTTCGGTTCTGTTTTGTATTTCTTCAGCTGGGGGTCAGACAGCCGTCTATATAACTTTCGGTGTGGTGGGATTTTGGACAAAGGAAACATCTGCTTTTAGGTTCAACGTTTTGTTACTTTCTTCATTTCTCTGCATGCTGCGTCATATGCTGTGGGAACCATTGAAATGTCATTCATGAAAATGAGAAATAAAATATTTGAGACTTGTACAACTGTGTTCTGGTTTTGTCAATTGCATCATAATGTCGAAAAAGCAGTACATTTTCATGAACCCATCATCAAGACTATTGGATGTAATGCTTATAAGACTGATGTCACAGTTGGGTTGTCCTTAATACTGTTATTTTTAACCTGATCATCAACGAGTGGATCTCTGAGCTGCTGTGAGTGAGTGGAGGTGGGGCTCATTTGCATATTCTCTAAATGAGGCTAGGGTGTAGAGATACATTCGGCATTAAGATTTTATTTTTTCAAGGAAAACATTTAACTATGTCATTTTGGTGATCAAAGATGTTTTAAGGGATAAATTATTGACTACAGGGGGACTTGGCAATCTCCCAGGACGAGACATTTTGTTTGGTGGGAAAACAAAACATCAATTATTAGCAATGGATTTAATGTTAGTTGGTTTGTCTCACTCTTAAAGTAGTTCACTTTTCAAAAAACATTTGCTGATAATTTACTCACCCCCATGTCATCCAAGATGTCCATGTTTTTTTCGTCAGTCGAAAAGAAATTAAGGTTTTTGATGAAAACATTCCAGGATTTTTCGCCATATAATTCAATGGGGTCCAAACGGTTCAAGGTCCAAAATACAGTTTCAGTGCAAACTGTTCAAAGGGCTTTAAACGATTTCAGACGATGAATAAGGGTCTTATCAAGCGAAACGATCGCTCATTAAAAAAAAAAAAAAAAAGTTTAAGTTTTATAAGCTCAAATGGTCACATTGCTCTGTTCTGTGATGCGCGATTGTGACTCTCCTGTTCGAACTCGTTTATCAAAATGAACAAATCTTTTTTCTTGTCATTTGGTTCATTTAACAAACGAAATAAAATGACTCGGGAAAAGGTTTGTTCATTTTGATGAAGGAGAGTCACAAACTAAATTGAGTCACTTAAATTGTCAAATATCTAAATTGTCTAAATTCAAAAATCTGTTTCAATCCTAAATCCTCCCTGTCATTTTTATGCCATTTGTGTAAATAAATTATTAATAGTGTAATAAGTTTCTTATGCCTGTAAGTTTGGAGACGCACAAGCTGGTCCCCATTGACTTTTTCCCCCGTTTGGTTACCAACATTCTTCAAACTATCTTCCTTTATGTTCAGCAGAAGACAGAACTTCAAGTTTATAACAACTTGAAGGTACATAATGACTTTAAAGGCTCACTGAATTGTCTTGAAACGCGGAAAAGGGTGAAACATATCGAACAGCTCGCCAATGGCGTTTAGTTTAATCATATCACAAAGCTCGTCGAGGGCCGTTGAGCCCACTTAGGCAGAATTTGGGATGTAGTGGAGGCCAAACGCACGTAAACGCCGTTTACCCACCTCCCAATATTCGGAAATAGCGTTTACCCACCTCCAAAGTGCGTTTATCCACCTCTTAATTGCGTTTATCCACCTCTAAATATCCTGTAGTTCCTAAGACATTTTAATTATGCTTATGTTGTTTTAGTTTCATATTGTTCATTATTAGTTTCATAGGTTGTTAAACACGAACTCTTTCATATCAGAGTTGTTGAGTATTACTGACGGTAAGGTTGCACTGTTGACGCTCGAGCAGAAATCTACACAATGAGCGCAGCACACACACACTCAGTTAACAACATACTGCCCATAAAAATCTAAATGTGGAGTTTTTGTATTTTTAACATATGTTAAGCAACCTCAATTATTTTTCCTGAATACCATCACGATTGAAACATGATTGTGGCATTGATTTCCTACAACAGTTCAATAAACAGTTAAAATGAAATCACTTACATTTTAGATGTAATATTAGCTGTTTTTGTTCTGCTTCAGCAGCGAAAATAGGTCCAAAATAAAAATCACAGCAGAACCACGGCACATGTCTCAGGAACACTCAACCTGTTTTCATTACTGAATGATTCAGCATTTTGAACGAATCGATTGAGTCAAAGATTCAATGACCCACTCATAAACATCTGTCTCATTCTTGAATGAATTAGCTGTTTGAACGAATCGTTTGAATGAATGAATCAATCAATGACTCACTCATTAAGACGGTCGCCCGCCGCCACCTACTGGCGGTTTGATATTAAATGTTTAATTTCTTATATGTAAATTTAAATCAATTTCAAAACATTATTTTATGCAATTGAAATTTTTCAGTGTAAATGATTTAATTTGATCAGCCCCTAGGGTAACAGCCCTAGTGATTATTATTCGAAATACTTGAATTTATTGATCAAACTTAGGAATTTAAAATGAAAGATGAAGCATACATTTAATAATATTGGCGGAGGGGATGCCCTTTAAAGGTGCAGATATTACAATATGGTGATTTAAATATCAAAGCTGATTGAACACTGATGAGAATATTGTTTCAGAACAAATCAACACACACAAAATATAAATAATAAATCCGGACGAGCTACTTTTTTATTACTCGGACAAGTGAATTTACGTATAAGGCTTATAATGTCGAGCTTAATGTCGAGTTTAAGCTTAATGTCGAGCAATGTCATCAGGAGATACACATACACCTTACCTTCTGGTGGACCACCAGAATTTATAGTTTACCCACCTCTTTTTTTTACCACTACACCTCTTATCGCTTTAAAATATAGCATTCAGTGCAGAATTCAAAGTGGTCCGATACGTTCTCTGAAATTATTCGCTAGTTTATAATGTAGTTTCAGATTCTTGAGAGCATTTGAGTGGACAGAAAATCTGATGAGAAGCTGAAGTGCAGAGTGATGTCATCAAAGTCATTGATACGGTGAAAGACTGTATAGATTTGAATGCTTTAATCTTCTAAATGCGAATTTTTCCATTGTTTTGGGTCACAATAGCTTGTTATATTCATACTTCAAGCCAAAAAACGTATTTTTTTTTTATTCATGGGGACTTAAAGTCTTAAAGCTGTAATATTAGTTGTTTGCCGCTAGGTGTCAGTGATACACAAAAAACCAACGAACTCGAAATGTTGAGTGAGTCAAAGGGGGGAACCCAGCAAACAATTTGTAGTTAGTTTATGATTATAATAAGAATAACACTTAAAAACAGAGAACGTTTTGGTATAAGTTCTCATTAGGTTACTACAAAAAAAAAAAAAAAAAAAAAAAAAAAAAAAAAACTCCCGGTAACGTTCAAGGAAGGTTAGACTTGTTACAATTCCGTTAGGAGACGCTAGGGGACAGCTATGAAGAAATATCGCCTTACCAAATCGAAAAGGTACTAAATGTTGTGTATTTTGGGAAAAAAGAAGGTTATCTTATTAGTTTGTTCCTTTATAACACATTTTCCTGGCAAAGGCGTTAAGTTAAAACAGCCAAAGCTGGTTAGTCTTTGCTTGTTTAAACTGCCTTTGACCAACTAGCCGTTAGACAAGAGGATCAGAGTTTCTGGTCACACTTTAGATTAGGCTCCAATTCTTAATATTAACTAAACATTATGAACTTTTCCTCAAAAAATCTCCTAATTGCTGTTTATTCATAGTTAGTAAGGTAGTTGTTAAGGTAGGATTAAGGATGTAGAATATGGTCCAATATCCTAGTAAAATGCATGCTAATAAGCAACTACTTCATAGTAGAAATTGGAAGTGACTTTATAGCTTACATCGGAGATCTTTGGATGACCAGCTTACATTTTACACAAATGGATGTGCTGATATTCAGTACAGAACACATTTTGTAGTCTATTAATTGATGACTCAGAATAAATCCACTAATTTGACATGCAAAACCATAGTAATAACACTGGTTTCACTTTATTTTGATGGTCCCTTTATTTTAAAGGTTGATGGTAACACATTCTGTTGACTATATAAGTAACATTGCACCTACATTTAAGTGTTAGTAGAGTATTAGTAGACAGGTAGGATTAGAATAATAATAGTCTATATTAGGAGAGCATCACAATAAAGAGCTGATATTAAGCACAGTCAACTACTCTAATGAGAGTTAGTGGACATGTAGTTGCAAAGTTGCTTAATCAACAGACTATCAAAATAAAAGTGTTACCATGGCATGACACGTTGTTTAAGCCATAGGGTAAACTTACAACAGACATTTTCCAACACGTCATTTTTTTCCTTGCAGAAACCGAGTCCCGTACTGGATCTTTCTGCGAGATTCAAGACCAGCCCTATCAGTCAGCATCAGGTGAAGTACAACAGACAAATTAGAACATCTATCAATTACATCACGCACACACACACACACACACAGACTGGTATTTCCCACACACATGCATACACACACCAGTGGACACTGATCCACTTCCAGAACCTGTGTCCCAGTAGGACAATAGTCTTTTCCTCACAGGTTGGCATTTATCAGGCCCGGCGACTGGGACAGCGAGGGATATTTTTGTATCCGTGTCCGTACTGATTGGGAAGGAGAATAATTGATGAAACTGAGAGAATCGGAGTAAAGCAGAGAGGAGAGCGGGTTCATCTGGAGTTCAGGTGTATTCTCGGGTGACTTTATTCCTGAACACAGGCTGCTGATAAGCATGTTTATCGAGCAGACAAAAGGACAGTGAGGATCCTGTTGCTTCAGTTTAAACCTGCTCTGCGTCTCCATGTGCTGGCGGTGGAAGGCCAGACAGGCTCTAAGTGGAGCAACAAAATGCAATACGGGGATAAATGGTGCCGTCTCTTACACAGAATTTGCATGTATTCCTGTGGGCTCCCACACATTTGACCAGTGAATTTCCGTGTGTTTTAAGACATTTATAATAAGGGTTTTTGAAAACAATTCAAATTCGTTCAGAGTCTGATTTTGTGAACACTAAGCGTTGATATAGATGCTTTGAAATGAACCTACTCATAAAACTGATTCACTAACTAACCAGACATTACAGTGACATTCAAGCAAATTATAAGATATAAAAAAAATAAATGTGTTATTCACACTTTATTTCCTATGCTGGAAAGATGTATGACATCAATATTCATGTAGGCCTGTGTGTGTGTAAATGAATATATATATTAGAATTTTAATTCATATCCTATTTTATAAT